AGTGGTGGTGGTGGTGGTGGTGGTGGTGGTGGTGGTGGTGGTGGTGGTGGTACAGACTATTGCACAACTACTCCTCTCGACAACACTACCGCGAATATTGCACACCTTTGTGCCTCTGCGATAAAATACAGATTCACCTTTCACCGCCAAACATCGAAGTGGCAACGGCGTCCCCCAAGGCCCATCCTTGCCTCACCCTGGCCATCAACAGGTCCATCATCCTCGATCGTGATGACAGACTCTTGCCTCAAAGAAAATCAATTGTGCTTGGAGGAGAGGGGCTAACTGCAGGACACAGGGGCATACCACGAACAGGCAGTAGACATGTATACCAGGAGCAACTGCGGAAATTCTGCTTTGGGCTTGGGAATATCCGGGGCTTCATAAACTGTACATGCATGTACCTCTATATGGCAGAGTGTCGAACTGGTCCGCACAATGCCCTCAGCAGGAACTCCATCCCAGGGCAGCGTATCCACAGAGTCGGGATTCGAAGACCTAGGCTTTGGAAACCCCCTTTGTGCATATGGAATCCAGTACACAGAACACAGGATGCCTGACATGAAAGTAGGAGGACACTACACACACACATGTATATATATATATATATATGTATATATGTCCATACGTCTATACAACAGAACTAACTATCTGTTTATACATACATATATATATATATATATATAGTTATGTGTATATATATATATACACACGTACATGTTATAATGACATATATGTACATATGTGCGTGTGTGTCTGAATATAGATAATACACACATGTCTATGTATATATATATATATATGTATGTATACGTCTAAACATATATGTATATATAGGTATATATGTACATATAACCATGCAAGTCCCAGGGTCGAGCCGAAGCTTGGATTCCGTTGGGCACGTTGCTTCAGAGCAGCCTTGAGCTGTAGCAGCTGCTCCTTGAGGAACTCCTTCCGACCTTATAAGGCTGTCTCTCTCTCTCACTCCCGCTCCCTCTCCCTCTCTCTTTCTCTGTTACTCACTTTCCTCTCTGTGTCTCTCTCTCTCTCTCTCGCTCCCAGGTTCACCTAGAAATACAGACGTTTATTATGCTAAGGAAAGGGCTCGGCTCGCGAAAAGGTGTCCGCTGCGAGCCATCTTCTCTTCGCTCCATAGCCGGGTCTTCCATCACAATCCCCTTTTTTTGTGGTGGGAGAGGGCTGTCTGCCAAATCCACCACAAAAGGCACACTTCGAGCAAGCACCCTCGCTTGCGACTTGTCTGCAACTCGATCCAACCCTTCAGGCTCACACTGCTCAGAATCGCTAAGCAAGTCCACCACACCAGCTGGGGACACATGTGGTGGCACCTTACAAGGGGCTTCTGAAGGCACCTTGCAATTCGCTCCTGGTGGTCCCTCGCAGCACGCTTCTGCTGGCACCTTGCAACTCGCGCCTGGTGGCACCTCACAGCTCGGCACCTCGCAACTCGCTTCTGGTGGCAACTCGCAAGTTGCTTCTGCCGGCGCCTCGTGATTCGCTCCTGCTGGGGAACTCACACTCTCAGAGCTTGTGGGTGAATGAGTTGGGGTCGAAGAAGGCGTTCTTCCACCCTTCGGTGGCTTCATGGATGACTTCTTGGTAATGCGAACCCTGATCGGAGCTTTGCCATGCATCGCTTTGTTGATAGCACGGTCAGTAGGAGCAGCGGGAACCAAGCTCCCATCGAGTATGCTTTCGAAGACATCCTCATCAGAAACACAAAACATGGCTCACTGTTCCCTCACACACCAACTTGCTCCAGTCTCGGAGAAGTCCAGCCCTCGAGATTACATTATAAGTATTGGTCCATGTATAAATGTGGATCTATGCAGTCTCTATACAGTTGAGAATCCGTAAACTCTTGCAGTTCATCATCTCGTCGCTTGCTCGATTTCCCGTGAAGCCGCCCGTGGAGATTCAAAGCCTTTTTGATCATCCAGGATGCAGCTCTCCTCTTGCTCTTTGTGAGATCAACCTGAATGCACACCAAGCCCTCTGAACCCACCCCCATCCCTGGACACGTGCCGCACATGCAGCCAAACTTCTTCCCAGTTCCCGGCCACTGTCTTCAAAACCCACATCAAAGTGGGAATTCCAAGAAGGTTCCGGTGGCACACCAATCGTGGCATCACGACGGTCAGCAACTCCTCGGCTGCCGCCCCAAAATACACACCGAACCCTTACATAATGCACGCATTCACAAAGGTCTGTTTATCTATGTGTCTGTACAAAAAAAATATATGTATATATATATATATATCTATATATCTATCTCCCCCCCCCCCCCCCCCCCCTCCCCCCCTCCCCCCCTCCCCCCTCCCCCCTCCACCCCCCTCCCCCCCCCCCCCCCCCCTTCCCCCCCTCCCCCCCTGAATATATACACACATATCCATCCCTGCCTTCGATTCCCTACGGAGGATCCCGGAGACGCATGCATGAACCTCAGCGCTATGTGTGTGTGTATATATATATGTACAAACATATGTACGTATATATATATATATATGTTATATAATCTCAAGTGCGGTTGTACAGAACACACCAGTGTGTATAGACACGGGGCATGCAAATAGGGCAGAGCAACATCATGCCAATAAACGTATGCACAGTCTGTAAAAAACATATGATACATCACACCACCTTTGTCCGAGGCACCTTGTTTGCCTTGATGTGCGCACATGTGATGCTACCCTTGTCATCGGTAGCATCATCACCCTTCTTCTTCCCAGGTGGCTGGACCAAGAGGTCTCCGATGAGCGTCGCCCGAGCTTTCAACACTTTGCTGCTGGTGATATCCTTATAAGGCAGCATGAGCCAGATCAAGACATGAACTGTGGAGCAATAGCCCTGCAATGATTCTCAGCACTGCAGCAAAGTATATACCGATGTGAACTGGTGTTGGGCCAGCCCAAGGAAATTGAAAGCCGTACGGAAGTGTAATTCTTACAGGTTTGGGTCTATATGGGTCGCCATGACAACGATACACATAGAGATAAAGACATAGATGTACAGATATAGATGCAAAGGCACAAAGATATGGATACGGCGTATATGCAAATGTTATAAGTGCATATATATATATATATGTAATGATCTATGTATATAAACAGTTTGGGGTTGTATAGGCACATTTATAAAGCTTAAAGTTTCACGGGATGTGGCGTCCATGTGCAGCCGGTTTCGTTTCACACATCTAGATGCGCATCAAGCTGCTTCAACCAATGCAAACGCAGCCAAGTTGTCTTCCGGCTCCAACTTGTGGCCCGGATCGGTCGGCACATCTGTGCTGCTTGCAGCCATGACGTCCACGGAGCTAAAACCCTGAAAGTATGTGGTGCTCCCAGTGCTCCCAGTGGAAGTTCACACGGTATTGCCATACATATGTGCATATATGTATACAGACCAGCCATATGAGCATGTTCGCTTCGAGCCCTCGCTGTGCTGATTGCAGGTGCAACATGGCATAGCAGACATCAACACAGCAGCCCGAACATGCGACCAGCAATGCGGGCCCTTTCTTCTGTCGAACACTATACATGCCTGTAACATAAATGTATATACATATATGCACACACACCCATACACAAACACCGATATGCCTATACGTACGAACCTTTTTATATATACACATATAATCTGCCCGAACATGATGTATGAGTAAATGCGTGTGTCTACATATGTGTATATATATATATGCACGTACATGCACATACAAACAGATACATGCATATATGTACATATTATGTACTTTTATATCTACTTATATTTACCTACCGGCCTACCTACAGACATACATACATACATGTATATATCACACATATGTGTGTGCATATGTATGTGTTTATATAAATACCTAAACAATGTGTGTATATGTGCACACATATTGGCCCCTATATACACATGTGTTCTCAGAGGTGGGTATATATAGACACATACTATACATCTGTACTCGTTCGAATATATGACACACACCCCAAGCCAACCCGAAGACAAGGAACAACCTGAAGTCCCGTGCTCCTATACAGTCCGAACATGTTTTCGAATCAGCATCTGTGTATATAGACGTAAAGCCACACCCGTGCCGCCACGAACATGTCCGGTACTTGTACAATATGATTGAACCAGGGAAGCCAGCAGATGCGCCCACGAATAAGTTGCGATCGAGTGGCATTGTCACTGCCTCTTTCGTGAGCAGCATCATGGCGGAGAAAGAGCAGGTGGCGTTCTATATAAGAAAGGCCATTGGGAGAAGCAACTGCTTCTTTTGTTTGCATCCAAAGTGTTTCATCTTTATATAAAGCATCCATGTAGTGCCTTTGCAAGAAAGTATATAAAGATGTCCTTTGTAAGTTGTCCTCCAGAATGCTTGTAAGACATTCAACACTATGCTTGCATAGCGGATGGTGCACTGACAGTTCATAAAGTAGCTTAAGATGCAAGAACGGCAAGACATCATCGCCATATGCGGTTTGTCGCCACCTGACCCCGAGGCTTCAACATTCTGTACAAACTACCGTAATCATCATCACGAAACTTAAGCGGTTCAGGGTCATCAACCTTAAAACCTAAAAAAGTAGGTTTGCAAAACACGAACCCAAAAAAAACAAGGGCTTTCAATGACACGCTACGGAACCCAAAAAAAACAGCTCCAACCAATAATAAGTATGGCCTGGCCAAAAGGAACTACCTTCGGGCCCCAGGGTAGTACCGTTAAGCGGTCCCTACGTTACTTCCTCGCTTGTGGACATCTATCCTTACAGCTCTACCTGTAGCCTCCATTCTTGTGCTTGGTTTACCCAATGATTGATTAGGATCCTGTAGTGTAACCCCCAAAAGGAGTGAGAGTGACACAAAAAGGAGCTACAATGGAGACTATAGCTACAAACCCCAAACCCTACACCCTAAGCCCCGAGATTGAAATAAACACCCTAAGCCCTAAGCCTTAACCGTATCAGGGGCTTTTCCCCCGCAAATCCGAGGATGGGAGCTCGTTAATCTTCCACTAGGCCGGGCTTGACTCAGTGCTTGGCCTATGGGGTATTCTAGGGTTTTGGGGAATATCATACTGTAGCAGAAAACGGAACCACCAAAATAGCATATTAGGTATTTGTTGAGGCACTTATATTGGTGATTCTTTATGTGGCTGAATACTTGTCATGAATACTATGCCAGTGGCTTCTTTCATCTTACACCATAGACCTTAATCCAGTTAGTAAGGCCTTGAACTGTCAGCCGGCGCGCCATTCAGGTAATTACAGGATTCCAAATTTAGTATTGTTGCCAGTCTAGCGTACTGGCCATTTCAGTAGTTCGAGGTGATTGAATTGCTTAATAAGTGCCGCTCCATGAAAACCTTGGGTGTTCGCCTAACGCGGATTGCCCCCCCTTGCGACATTCCAAACCCTGATCCAAGCGTGAACAGCGCTGCTTCTTCCACAAGCACTTGTGTATGCAGCGATGCTTCCGGTGCTTAGAGCCCTGGATTTGAGCGATCTAGACTACGGTCGGCCTGAACTCTAAGTTCTGCGTCTCAAGGTTTAAATACTGTTATTGTAACGGATTTTATTTCATTGTCATTTGATTATTGTAAGTTATTCTTGCCCATTCTCGCCGCAGCTCAGAGCTCACATGAAACCCATTTCAATGACTTCACGCATGTTGTTCCGGTTTTCCTGTGATGTTGGAGCTCTGTAAGCCTGATTTACACCTGTCTGTATGTACGCACATGCTTCCACATGTGTACACCTACACCCTGGTATAATGACGGAGTGGAATCGAACAAAAGAGGATACTCATGCACAAGATTCACGCGAGCTGGCAATCCTAAAACAGACTACTGCCGCTGACATTCGACGCTGCCGTGTCGGTGCCTCTGACGCTTGAGGATCGAGCCTGGCCCGAAATACTTAAACCCTAAGCCTATGAATATTATTGTATGTTATGGTGCTTTATGGTATATTATGGTATAATGGCATATTATGGTGCTTTGTGGTATATTAAAGCATAGTTGAATTACACCCCGACATTGCATCCCAAGCTTTCCTGCAGGAGGCAAACGGAAACGCGGAGAACAAAGAAGCCGCCCAGTCTTTCGGTTTGTTTTATGGCTAGACCCTAATTTAGGGTTTAGGGTTAGGGTTCGGGGTTTAGGGTAATCCCTAAACCCCCCTCAACCCCCCAAAACCCCAAACCCTAAACCCCCCTAAATTAGCCGAGCTAATCTGCTGCGCGATCGCCAATGTACGGCTTCAGGGACTGGAATCCTCGCCAAGGGTTGCCCGAGTGTGAGTGCTGAAACCTCCTAAACCACAACCCCTCTCAGCCTTAATCCTGCTAAAACCCCCAAAAAGTAGGTAGAATAATGGCCCAAGACCTGTAAAAGGCCATTATTCTACATACTTTGGGGGTCCAGGTAATCCCACTAAACCCCAGGAGCGTGCCCATGGCGACACAGCTTGCACCAGAGTTGGAGCGGACAGCGTCGAGTGGAGAGCCGACAGGCGACAGCTCCTGACTCTGGGCTCCTGTTTGGGATGCGTTGTATTACCCTAAGGCTCTAAGGACTCATATCTGAAGGCCTTTGGGCCTAAAGACCATATTATATAAGGCTTTTGGGCCATTCTGAGCCTTAGGGTTCAGGGTTCAGGGTTTAGGGTGTTGTTACGGTATTCTTATTGTTACTGTTGTTCACTTTTATCGTTCTTGTCGTCATGAAGTGTAGTGTTTACGGGAGTGTATATAAAGCGTTGTGGTGAGGGTTGCCGTTGTGTTTTTGCTTGTAGGCTTCCTTCAGTTGGGCTTTAGCGTGGTTTTATAAGTGCTGCTGGCTTTTTTAAGGCTGCTACTTGAGGTAGTCCTGGGTTGTAGGCTTTAAGAAGGAAGAGGGCATCTCAAGCCTGGCAAATACATTACCTTTCATAGACCCCCCCCAACTACCGTCTAATTCTTAGATCCCCAATACCTAACCTTTAAACTTTAAGCTTGTTGGGTTCTTGTAGTTTAGTAGGAATCCGAAAGTATAACCTTTCATTTCTGTGGCTTATTGGGGTAGTAAAGGTGATAATCACGTGCCATATGGACTCTATTAAAGGGCTCTTGGTGGGCGTCCTGGTTCATCCCGACCCACCATTGCTGAAGCCTCCTCTGAAGAAGTACGCGAAAAGTTGTTGCAACCCAATACCGGTGGGAACCCCTAACGAAGCCCTGATGCCATTATCAATTATAAGCGTATTATTATAGTTCTGCTTCAGTCATAATGGTAACTGAAGATGAGATTTTTCAGCTACAATGGCGCCGCAACTTATGGTGACCCCAAACTTAGCAGAGATGACAGAGCCCAGGCCTTTCCCGCGGCACGACGCTATCTACTGCTGGCCTACTCAACGAAGAGCTCGCAGGAGGAGTCGTGTCACAAGCAGGAACGGAGCTTAGTCCCGTGAAGCCCGAAACTGAGATTCCTTTGAGGGCCGACTTTCAGGGGGAAGCGGTCAGCATCTGGACGCGGCAGAGCATCGGGATCGTTTTTAATGGCTTCCTCCTTTCCTTCCTCAGTGCCACATGTACCGGAGTTGCCTATGGATTGTTCCTGGGTTCCTGTTGAGTTATTCTAAGTTACTATATAAGGAAGCCGTGTTATTTATGCCTCTTATGGTAACTTAAATTACATTCCCTTACAAGAACCCAGGTTCCTGGGGTATATGGGACTGGACTCCTACGTCATGTCATCCATCACGGCTCTCATGAAGCTTCCGGATGTTTTGCCACTCCCCTATGGCATGATGACAGACTGCTTCCCTATCCGTGGCCAAAACCGAAAGCCCTGGCTGTTGGTGGCTTGGACCATCTCAGGCCTAGCGCTCCTATCTTTGAGCCTGAAGCCTCAGCCGGCCCCTTACTATTGCCAAGATGAGAATGGCGATTACAACTGGTACGCACCTCCGTGCAACCCTGAGATACACAAGGAGAAGACTTGGTACATTTTCCCGCTCTTTCTCTTGACAGCTGGTGTCCAGCTCGGGAGCGTGGCGGGGCAAGCGCTTCTACTAGAGTACTCTCAGCGTGAGCCCCTCGACCGGCGTGGGCAGATCAAGACAGAAATGACGATGGTCTGCACTGCAGGGGGGTTGACGTCTTCTTTTGTCATAGGTCTCTTCATGAACAGCAAGGCCTACTTGGGCTCCTTCGACTGGGGCTTGTCCTTCAGCGGCTTGATGACCGTTTGCTTGCTCCTTGTCATCCTCATCATCCCTGTAACAGTTCTCTGCGTCTCGGAGCCCCCGAAGTCCGGGCATCGCCCTTCCTGCCGTTCTCATGTCAAGGCTTCCTGGGATCTGGTCCAGAACACAGCTCTCTCCAGCCTTCTCTTCTTCGGCTTCTTCGTTCCTTGGTCATCGTGGGGTAACATTTCACAGTTTTATAGGTACTAGGTACTTAAACCCAACAATAAGGAATATACATTCAAATTTTGAATCCTATCCCAACCATGAACTAGTAAACCCAACTCAACCCCCAAGACCCCAAACCCTAAAATGCGAATTTTAAATGCTATCCCAACCATGAGCTAGGTTCAGTTCTTGGTTTCCATGACGACCACGGCTGGGCCCATGGTCCGGAGCCAATGGGCACATGTGAAACTAGGTAGGGCTTTGGGACATTTTATATTTTCCCTTATTGGGCTTAAGAGGATCTTATTTACTAATATTTTTCAAAGGCTCTAAAAGCCCCACCTAGGAAAGTTCTGCAGCAGCAGATGTTTGGCGTGGCCGGCCTAGGCGTCATGATTGCAGCCACCTGGATCTACAAGCTGTGCTTTCTTCAGGTCAGCTGGAGAAAGGTCATTTTCCTGGCGATCGTGGCCGTGAACGTGATCGATGCGATCCCGCAGTTCCTCACAACCTTCGGTGTGGTGCGGAACCAGTATTTCTACCTTGGCGAAGATATCGTCAGCTCCATTCCGAATGCCATGTTGCAGTTGGTTTCGAACCTGATGATCATTGAGCTAGCCGAGCCAGGTCGCGAAGGTCTCTGCTTTGGCTTGATTGGTACTCTACAGCAGTCAGCCTTGCCCTTTGCCACCGTCATCAGTAATCAAGTCTACGGTTTGTTCACCCCGAAGCTCTCGAGCCTTGAGAACTACATCTTGGATACCCCCGAATTTCGAGACACCGTGGCCTGGTCCTACGTCTTGACCTACGCCACCTCCTTCTTTGCCTTAGGGCTTCTTCCGATGATTCCATGGCAGAAAGCCGAGGCTCATAGGCGGAAGAACGAGTGGAAAAACAACTCCTTCATGGCCACCCTGGTTCTTGTCGCTGGGCTTTTGCTCTCCAGTCGCTTATAGCTTTTGCTACACTAGTCAGGAAGGAAGTCTTACAGCATTCCCTGCAGATCACTAGTTAAGTTCCCAGGTCATGCCGGCCTTATGCCTGATCTACGGAGTCATTGTCCTGATTCTGACAAGCCAGCCCGAGACGGCGTGCCTTCGTTGGGTCGGTGGCCAAGGATGCGAGCATGATAGCGAGAGGCTCACAGTGAGCAGCGTGATGAGCATCCTGTCTTTGGCTGAGTGCAGCAGGAGATTTTCTTGAGTTCCACCGGAGAACCCTCTCTGCAGGGGTCCTGTAGCGAGGAGTCTGACATAAGCTCGGGTCCACAGTGTACAGATCCTAGGAAGGCTTGGGTTTCCGGGACATGAGGGCAGACAGGGAGGCGATATCGCACTCACCTAGATCTGAGCCCCTTGCGTCCCTCTGCGTCGCCAAAGTCTGAACTCGGACTCGAATTCAGCTTTTTGAGGGTCCTGTCCTGTCCGCAGAGACAAGGACCCAGCAGCAGCGCATGTTAGGAAACGAGTACAGAGTGCTTGGAGACCCGAGTGCTGGTAACAGTGACAGTAATGCCAATTCAATACTATATAGTACAAGTCGCAGTAGTTTTACACAGCAATAACAGACTGCGTAAGAAGAACATAACGGTACACAAAATCACGCCGCTCACTTGAGGATGCCTTTCTCGGGAACCACTTTGCGACTTGAGCTTTGGCGGCTTTCTTGTTCAGAAGCAGGCGGTGTAGCATCTCGTGTCTGTCTCTGAACGGCCGCTCTACAGGAATTGACCAGGGAGGTATCGCCGGATTGGACCTACTATGCAGCAGTCTATGTCGGGACTCGGAAAACAAGGGACGCGTTCGGATAAGAAGGACTTCTTCTGGTTCGGGCGCACCTCAAAGGAGACTTCCAGATTTACAGGACCCCTTGCAGTCTGAACCCCCCCCCCCATCGAGCACCCAACCCTAAACCGCCTAAACCCTGCAAGCCCCTAGCGGTGGTGAGCTTGGAATTATGTTGGATCCTCCGCTCTGGGAGCCTGTCTGCCAGAAAAGGACCTACGATGGAGAGTGTAGGTAAGCCGTACAACGCTCGAACCCGTGTAAGCCGTCGCCACATCTTATATTATATAGAAGCCCGTGCGAACCCCAAAAAGAAATGCAAGCACGTATTTCCCCTATATGGCCTGACTACGCACACCTTGAAACGTGCCCGAACCGCAAACTGCGGTGGAAAAGCCTCCCTGAATAACATTTTGAGTTTCACCTCGCGGATCAAGAGGCGCCGGAACCGTGCGAAGGAAACAGGGCCAGCTCTTGTCGAAAATCAGACATAGTATTCCTGAGGGTTCCCTTCTTCTAAACATACCCACTATTCTGCGTATTCAGACTTCAAGCCTCTATATTGCAAAGGTTGGTGACGATGCCATATGGCATCTCGATTATGTTTCATGCACATCAGTGTTCTGGGTTTAGAGTTCAGGATTTGAGGATGATTCTGTTTGCTGGAAGAGCGGCTGACTACCTGGCGTCCTTGCCTACAAGCCCGCAGCAAGATTTCGATGAAGTTTGTTGTATTCAACAAGGAGTTTTAATGAAGGATGTTGGATCTGGGTTGCGAGCCGGCGACATGCTTGAGGGTTGAAGCTTTTGGAGCTGAGGGCTTTCCTATAGTCATGTTGGTTAAATCAAAAAAAGGAGCTGACTGGGAAGGTTACAGAAGCTTGGGGGAGTCCTAAGGGCTGTAAGCCTTGTAGGTTTAGGGGTTGGGGGGTTTGGGGTTTCGCACATCAAGCTCCCCTTTAGGAGGAACGGGAGCAGTGGTCGAAGGAGTAGAGGGGACTAGGAACAACAAACCAGGTTATATTGACGACAGCAAGCAAGACAAGGCCAGTTGTTGGCTGGATTCCTTTAGCCTTAAACCAGGACCTACACCCTGAAACCTACAACATGGTATATGAGGCAAGGAGTAGGGCGGATCGTGCCCAGAAGTTCTGTGTTGGGGTTTACCTAAACAAGCGGATGACCCTTAAATGTATTGGGTTAAGAACCCGTTATGCTGCAGAGCATTACTTAGAGCGAGGAAGGAAGTCACCTCTGGAATGTGGGTGGTTTTCCAAAGCAGTGGAGGTGAATTTCGGGATCCTTTAATAAATATATTCTACAGTCCGACGATGGGGTTAAACACACCCAACCCACCAAAACCTCCAAGCAACCTTAAACCTTGAAGCCCTAAGCCCTAAACCGTTTCAAGTTAGGTTTGGAAATCGAAGCTGCTTTCAACCCTAAACCCTAAACCCTGCAATGCATGCCTGCGTGAGCGAGTGTGCGTGTCGAAACCCTGCAATGCTAAGGCCTTCGTCCTTGCTAACTAGGCGGGAAAAACCACCTGAAGTCTCGTAAGCCCGTACTACGGTTGATGATATAAATCCTGCATTGCCCATAATAGGGAATATACTATATACCATAATTCCTATAGTCTAGGGTCCTTAAGGTAATTCAGGATTTATATCATCAACCGTAAGACCCGAAGTCCCACGAGATCTCACAGAAGGCTCGCTATATCCCTACGAGAAGCCCGAAGCTCCTTGAACCCGAAGCCCCAATAATCCCAAAAGTAACTAAGGTATAGTAAGATAGTGAGATAGTAATATAGTAATGTAGTAATATAGTCTATATAGAAGTATAGTGAGATAGTAAGATCGTAGTGTAGTAATGTAGTATTGAAGTTATCATGGTAATAGCAGGAAATCAAGAAGCCTTGCAGCCCTCAGGCGCCAAACCGACGCGAACCCCCCCCCCTCCACCCCATGAACCCAAGACGCCGAGTGATTGCAATACGGATTAGGCTTGAATTCAGGGTTGAGGTTATCGATAAGCTTCCTTAGGACTCCGTATTCTAAGTATACTACAAAGGAGCCCAAACCCTTATTCTAATCACGAAGGCCCCTACATTAAGGCCGATCTGGTCAAGGCCTGGGGGACAAGATGGAGGTTTTCCATGGACCGCAGCCAATCAACTTCGTGGTGCACCGAAAGAAAGTTTGCACATGAGGGCCCGGTCTACGCAATGGGAGCAAGAGTTTGTAGTTTAATGTTTTATGTTGGTTTTGTACGGTGGTTTATTTGGCTGAAGAAATGTCGCGTTCTGTTCGGGGCACAGGGAGCAAAGGCATACGATAGATCATAAATCGACCCACTCCCTAGGGATCCGCTGCCAGCAGAGCTTAAGCCATGAGCTTGAGGCACAGTCTCAGAAGCCGCCTGAGTCCCTCCTGCTACCACTCCCCCGTCTTAGACCTACACTCTTTGAACAAGCTCTATAAAACCTGAACCCCCGAACCTTCTGTGTGTATTGAATCCTACGCCTACAATCGACCAGTCTTGGAAGCAAGCCTGAAAACAGCAGCGTGTAAACGTGTTTGGGTGTTACAATCCCCAGAAAATACTGACATGTCAACCTTGACTTCCCCTAGGATAACAAAGGACTACAAAGATACTTTTTGGATTCTTTGGGGGTAAGGGGTTTGTGGCGTTCGAGGCTTATTGGGGTGTAGGATGCTAGTTGGGTTGGGTCCCCTACACCCGGTGACAATATCATGCACCCATGAGTGCACATGTTCACTGCCAGCACAGCCATAATTATTCCATGTGCGGAGTTGATGCCCGTGTAGTTGAAACTGGTAGTAGCCCCAAAAGCAGCAGGACCAACAGGAGCACCAAGAAAATGGACACCCTGGTATGGTGATAACAGCAGTTTTATACAGTCCGAGTCGCAGTTGTAGTGGACGTTGTAGCATAGCTAGAGATTGTCGTGGTAGTAGTCGTCTTCCTCCCCGTTATTGTTGTGGTAGCAGCAGCAGGAGTTGGAGCGGCAGCGGGAGCAGGAGCAGCAGTAGAAGAAGTAGAAGCAGTAGAAGTAGAAGTAGAAGTAGAAGAAGTAGAAAAGTAGAAGTAGTAATAGTAGAAGCAGCAGCAGCAGTAGCAGCAGAAGCAGCAGCAGCAACAACAACAGGTGCATGAGATGTCGTCCAGAGAAAACGCTGCGTCCAGATTCGAAGATACCACGCACAAACCCTCAGACTAAATTCCTCGGCCAGACCTGTGCATGTGAGGTGTATCGAAAGCGTCCGGGCGTTGACCGCTCTCCGCTAACAGTGCGTGACAAAGACTACTTGCTTCTCGGGCTTGTCAAGGTTGTGAGGGTCTGACCTTGTTGTATTCTTACCTCCGAGGCGTGTTTGCTGTAAAAGCGCCAGTTGATCGGGAGCCGCCCTCCACTATAGCGAGCCCCAAGCGCGAATATCAAAGCCCGGTCGAGCCTGGCCCTACAGCCCTAGCCTCATCCACTGAAGTATATGCTGAATATGAAAACAAGCCACTATCGCCGAAATACATGCCTTCAACTCGCGAGATTTCGTCGGAAGACAGGCCACCGCCTGCCCCAAAGATGCCCGTGGGCTTCGAAGGTTCCGCTTGGTGATCCATCGCGAAAAACACGAGGAACTGGATGCTTCGCCCGAGAGCCCTGTATCTTGGCTGCAGCGTCACCTTGCTTTGGCTTGACCCGGGTTTCCTTAACGACAACGACAATACCCTAGACCCGAAGATTTGGATGGCCAGGTCCTCAGGCGATTTCGTAGACCATCTGGAGTCGAGGCCGTTCGGGGGTGGCTCGGTCCATGGTGCCTGAGATGCTTCACGTGACAGACATGCCTTGGTTGCATCATTTGTATTAATGTGTATATAGTCGTGTATAGATATATATATATATATATATATATGTATATATACATATGTAATGTACATACACTTGTAACTTGTATTTGTGTACTATGGCCCTGCTCGCTCAAACGACTATGCTTGAGCCATGCATCTCTCAACGCTAAAGCACCGGAGTTTGTGACTGTAGCTGTTAGTCGCACTGCGGAGCATTGTCCGGCAATACAGTGGAGCTCGGTGTAGGTTTGTTTGAAAACGGCTGGCGGTGTCAACGCACACCCACACAGTGAAATCACGCAACATCATCATAGCTGGCAAAGTAAAGCATGACCCTGCACTGACATGCAATAGTGTAAGGTTTTGATGCACCCCAGAAGATAACTTATGCGCACTTCACATGCTCTCCTTAGGTTTTTCTTATTTTTGTTCATATAAAACCCAAGAGAATATTAACAATGCTAGTTTCATCATGGTTCGGGGGGGGTGTAGATTAAGAGTTCGGCAAGCAACCTGCAGTTCCATGGCACCTGAACAGCCCAGGAGCATGTGGCATGTGGAACATTTCTGACATTGTCTGCATTTGGGTGGTTGTCAAAATTATGGTCCCTTTTTGGGTACCCTAAAGTTTAGGTGCCGTATTATATCAGGGACCCCAAGAGGGACCATAATTTTGACAACCACCCGTTTGATATTGAAACAGAAAGCTGTTGAATTTTATACGCGGGCAAGAGAAGTAAGAAGCATGTGCTCATGCAGCGATAGTCCATAAAGCCTGAACCCCAGAAACGAGACCCTGAACCCACACACTCCCTATTGTCGATGGTGTAGGTTCCCGTGCACCGGGGCGCTCTAATCACTCTAATCCCTAAGGCCCTTACATTACTTGGTGTACGAGATGCTTCGGCTGAGGTTCGGCTGGCTTCGTTGGCCGGCCACGCACCCGAATCTGGTGGTTTCGGTTAGCTGCGTTAGCTGTGTTTCTTAAGGCTTGGCTTCGGGTTTGGGACGGGCTCGGGCTCGTGGGTGTCTTTTGACGACCGTTTGTAACCTAGCTGGTTGTAGCTAGGTTATGGTCTTAGATGGGAGTTTCTGAATAAAAGGGACCCCAATACATCACTCTAAAAAGTAGGATACTTATTCTAAGGACCCCAAAATAAGGTAGCCCTAATTTTCGGAATCTCCCAGATGGGGTTGTGTATATCTGATTGCTCTCGCCCAGTTGCCATAATTTTACGGAAACCTAATCTAGCTTCCCCGTAACAAACAAGCACCCAGGAAACCACTGTGAATTTAGAATGTGAAGATCTCTCCCGTTCCAAGATGCCTCCAAAGCGCTTCCTGAGTCGTGCTGCTGCTTTCCTTGGCTATGGCGGTAATGGCCTTAATAATGTGAATATGGTTTGGGGGTATAGTATACTGTAGTTGTAATATGGAGCCTGCCAAACTGGTATTGGTAATTTTGGGGGGTATATGTAGTTGTAATAAGGAGCCTCCCAAACTGGTATTGGTACTTTTTCAGGTTGTAGGATGACCTTAGGTTCATAGGAATTGCTCTGGGCCTTGTTTGAAACAGGCTCGGTGCAGAAATAGTCGTCTGCGGTGGCCGCTTGAAAGAAGCAGCTGCTTCAGGAGCCTGAGCCAAAACGCAGAATGCTTTGGCCCCTGGCATATGGATCGCTGCGCCGCAGCTGCGGCACACGTTCAGTAGGATGTGTGTTGCATCGTTTATTTCGGAGACGCGTGCCGCTTGAAACATGCCAACTGCGCTTTGCTCTCACGGACAAGCCTACCGTACTTCTATACGGGCTTTACTAGTTGCCTATGATACTATTTTGGGGGTTCCTTAATTAAGTATAATTACAGTAACGGGCCCCAAAACCTCATTTTGATTATTGAGGCCCGTACATTACCCTACATGATCGTGACACAAAGTCCAAACGTCGTTCCCAACGCGGAGGGAGCGGATCCTCAGCCGGTGTGGTGATGTTGCCGGGGGAAAGCCGTCTCAGCCGTTGCTTCTAGCTAGGCGGACAGCTATTTTATTCATTCATACTATATACTAGAGTTCATGATCTTCTTCTTATTGCTATTATAAGCCTCAGGTCAAGGCCGCTTTTGGTTGTCCTTGTTGAAACGTACCTGCACATGAAGTTGCGAACCCAGAACATGCACCGTGGACCTTGTGTCAAAGGATCCTGACTACGACGAAGCGTTCTTGAACATACAAGAGGTATGTGCCGGATCCGAAAGCTTGGCTCTGAACATGTCTCCGACACTCGGATGGATGACTTTGCGAAGGCCTCGAAAGTTTGCACCACAAGTTTTATGAGGTCTAACATCTGTCATCTTCGGCTCGCAAGATATTGTGTCTGTCGCCATGGAGATGAGCCGAGATGTCGCGCAGCCGCGTGAGGCGCTATCCTTACGCTCAAGACAATGACGGAAGACCACAGTCAGCTGACTCGAGATGATTCCGCGTTCACTCCCAGGTTCAGTTACAGATTGTTTCGGCAACAAAGGTGCCTGTATTGTGGGACAGGTAGCAGTAGGAGTAGGAGTAGTAGTAGTAGTAGTAGTAGTAGTAGTAGTAGTAGTAGGAGTAGGAGTAGGAGTAGGAGTTGGAGTTGGAGTTGGAGTAGGAGTAGTAGTAGTTGTTGTTGTTGCAGGGGTAGTGGATACGGTAGTGGTATTGGTAGTAGTCTAGCAGTCCTCGTCGTAGTAGCAATGGTAGCCGTCGTAGTAGTAGCAGCAGTAGCAGTACCAGTAAAGGACCGGCTCGATCGGTACGTGGCCACATGGGTAGTTGTCAAAATTATGGTCCTTTTTGGGGTACCCTAACTAATCGGTGCCGTCTTATAATAGGGACCAAAAAGGGACCATAATTTCCACAACCACTCACATAGGCAGCGATACAAACGGTTCGGTTAGCGATATGCTGCGGAATGCGATAAAGGTGTTGTTGAAACGGCAATGTTTTTTTGTTGCAGCAGTCACGGTATGCATTAGCTTTTGGAGCAAGAGCGGTACCTCTATTGTATGGGCGGCAGAACATTGATAGACCCTCCCAAAAAGATTGCATCCCCAGCCCATCTGAAGTGCAGGCACTGGTCCAACCGCAGCCTCAGCGTCCGGCCTGGATGCCCCAGCCGGGGATTCCTAAGTGCCAGATGGGGGTTCCTTCGACTATCGAGGCCTCGGAAGTTTGCGGTTTACAGTATGGTCCGGTATCAAAGCATTTTAAAGTTTGTTCGAGGCTTTTGGGATTTTGAGTGGTGTATAAGGTTTTCGGTGTCTTTCTATCAAGGTCAAGGATCAACAATTCTTAGGATACGTCGCAACCTCACTGACAAGCTCATATTCGGGGTGCCTTTTCGTTGCAGCATTTTTGCAAGCAAGTACTTGAGCTGACACCTTGAACCCCATATCATGAACTGTCAGCACTGATCCCGAAGCTCTGCTGTGGCTTTGTAGCGAGTATAGGTTTAGATGCTTGAGAGACTGTACAGAAGTGGTTTCGTTTTGCGTGGGGGCAGCAAAGTGCAACAAGGACAGCAGCTGCCGCTAGTACCACCACCACCACCACCACCACCGCCACCACCACCACCACCACTACGGTCAATAGTAGTAATAGTAGTGATAGGAACACTCAGAACACCAGTACTAATCAGTTTGGACTGGCTAAGTAGACGAGCCTCTGACGATTTTGGGGTTATTCCATTGTAGTAGCTTCTTTAGAAGGGAGGTCCCAACAAGAGACACATCGCTCAGAGCGACCCCACATAGAACGCCCATGAGTTAAGGTATGGACTGTAAGGATTCTGAGGTAGAGGTTGGAATCCCTAGCCGAGTTCAATAATTGCTGACAGCTTGAGTCTAGCTGCAGTGCTTGTTTCCCACGGCTTGTCTGAGAGTGTAACAGCTATAGCAACTCCTCGGTTTGGCACGGAGTAAGTCTGTTGAGGATGTGGTCACAAGCTGGTTGATGACAGTGGTTAGTTTGGTGCTGACGCTGGCATGACATATCAAGGCATACCTGCCTGAGTTTGAACCTGCAGTATCTCACAAAAAGAGGCACCAAGTTCAGGTGGCTCAGACACACGACCCTGATGCTGAGCCCTAGTCGAAAGCCCTCAGCTTCTCGGGAGGAACTTCCCAAGCTCCAACTTCAAGCCGAAAAGCTGTAAGTTCTGGAACTTACCAGCCCAGAGATGTGCCTATACAGGCTTTGTTTTGGAGCTTACATGGGCTTCCCTACAGTGAAAAGTGAAAGGTCTGCAAATTCAAGTCCGAAATCTGTCGCCATGGGCGCAACCTGCTCGTTTTCATCATGCAGTCGACCTATCAGGCTCCAGGGTTTAGGATTTTCGATGCTTGACCTGGGACGTTCAGGGCTTATTGGGGTTTATAAGCTGTTTGGTTTGGGATTTTTGCTCTGGCGAGGCTTTTGCAGGCTCGACTTTTTGTCTATAAGGTCATCAGGGTTTAAACTTTGTTGGTGTAATTAGGCCTGTGGCAGTACAGGAGCTGGCAAGGCTTTTTGGAGGCTCTACGCAGCTGTTGCGGTTTGTAGGGTCATTAATGTTTAAGGTTTTGTGCGGACTGCCTGAAATTCCGATCCTGAATGCATTATCAATATCACATTGCAGTCCCTATACAAGTAGTTATAGTAAATCAGCCCATACCCCACACCCCCAAACCCTAAGCCTAAGCCACACACCCTAAACCACAACCCGTAAACTCCGTTAACCTTCAATCCTAAACCCGTCAGTCACTGACTCTGGCAACCGTACTCCTGGCAGTAGGCTCGTCCTAGCAAGGCGGGAGGCAAAAGAAAAGCCGTAAATCCTCAGAGCCCTCGACCCCAAACCCTGAACCCTAACACGCTAGACCCTATCCCAAGCCATCCGGTCCCAGGCGTCAGGTGAGCGAGTCGACCTTCGCAAAGTCGAAAGTCGATCTCGTGGCGGCTGCCCAGCACCTTCGGCACGAATGCTCTCGCTGTAGCATCTGCACATATTTATGCACATCTTAGCCTACATCGCATTGCTATTGACATTCTTGCTCTCATACATGCTTTGAGATACCTACGAACATACATACATCTGTGTTTGTGCTTATGTGTGTACGCATAAACAAATATGTGTGTCTGTGCGTGTGTGTGCGCGCCTGCAGCTATGCCAGTACATGGACACACTGTGTGACACTGTGTGTGTGTGTTTGTTTGTGCAGGCTGCTGTCTGAGCAGTGCATAGCATATGCAATTTTTGAGATAGCTGTTTGGACTTATTGATATGTAGTAGAACGAAGATGGCAACCCGATACACATGTGGATGTTGGTATGTATGCAGTGAGTTCGTGTGCATGCGTGTGTGTTGTGTTGTGTTGCGTTGTGTTGTGTTGTGTGGAGGCACTGCGCACTTGTAAGTTGTAAGTGTGTGTGTATATTTATGTGTATATGCATGTATACACGAGTTATACGCGTGTGTCCGTCTGTTTACACGTTGCCGCATTTATGCATGTATCCATGCTTGTGTTTATGCGTTTGTTTATTATAGGTGTATGTATGTATGTATGTACGTAGGTATGTACGTACTCGTATGTATGTATGTATGTATGTATGTATGTGTGTGTATGCTTTGCTGGCTTGCTTGTCTGCTTTGGTTGGCTGCCTGGCCGTACGGGTGCTCATGTGTCGAGACGTGTTTGGTGTTTGCAGGTTTCGTTCCTGAAGACGCTGAAACTCATGCAAGTCTTCAAGGTGAGAGGTGATCGGCAGAGACCTCAAGCCCAAAAGCACCGGCCCAGGTATATGATGGAATTCCTGCAGGCCTAGTCCGCTCTGGGGGAGACCTTTCAAGTAAGGTTGGATGTATCAGGGGTAAGCACAGAATCGTGCGGCAATAAGTCCTCACTGTCAATGCACATGTCCGATTCGATCAAGCACATGGAGGTTGCTTGGCTTAACATGAGTGTTAGTATTTGGCTCACTATGTCAATGTCTCTGGCCTCTCTGTCTTAGACCCTTAAACCCTAAACCCCTTTCACCCGTCTCTCTATCATCGTTGTGGGTCATGTGGGTCCGTACCGAGATCCGAAACTCCAAGCCTAGGGCTGCAAAGTTGAAGCCTACCACCACTTAAGTCCTAGACCCACTGGTTGCAGGTGTCGCAATAATGTGTAAATGCATCCCCTACCCCGTTATGGGTCGTACAACTATAGCATAAAGATATCCCACAGCTGGTTCTAGGCATTCAGATTCAGACCCTCCAAAGTTTCTCTAGTACTTCTCATTTTCGTTTGTATGCAACCCAAGAGAATGTTAACAATTATATGTTTTATTTTGGCTCTAAGGGGGTATAGCTCCAACAGTAAGCATCATAGCAGAAAGCCGACTCCTGACCATTTCTGCGTGTTGCTCCCTTGCTGCCCAACTGTCGCAAAAGATTAGCAACAGTCCACAAGTGCTGTAGCTTCAGTGGCCCTGTTTCCCGCAGGTTTGGGTTTTCAGAGCCCCCTTAGCAACAGTTCTAAGAAGACTTTCTTCAAGAATTCCCGAACAGCAGTGCCGACGGATAGAATCCTGCAACACCTTCCCGCAGTTCAGGGTTCTTAGTGTCATGTGGACCGTGTTGATCAGCAGCAGCGCAAAAGCCGATATTGTTGTTTCCCCCCTCACACCTGTGCACCATGAAGCTTCGTCCAGGAAGTTGAACAATACTCCTGAAGTAAGCAATATACCCCTAAGTTAAAGGGTTCCTTAAAGGGATGTCGAAGGGAGTCTCTGGGCAGGAAGTGGACCAATATCCATGCTTGCCTCTTGACAGCTTACAGAGTGGCTGCATGCTTGTGGTTCAGGCTTCGGGGTTTCCCCTTAACGGCGCAACTATGTGCACCTCTGCCTTAAATTCCGAAGCTTCCTATCAGTAGCCCGCAACCCTGGTTAAAGTCCCTAAACCCTACCGTCTTAACTCCTAAAACCTCAAACCACGAAGCTCTAAACCCCGAGCCTAGACCCCTCCAAATTTAGGACCCGACCGAATTATGCCCAAGGCTCGGTAATCTCCGAATGCTGAAGGGTTTAGAGTTGGGGGGTTTGGGCTTCAGATACTTGAACTTTAGGTTCTTGTGTAACCCCCAGCAACCCACTGTATGAGTAGCTGGATCCCGGATCCCTGCTGAACCCTTGCACGAGGTATTACAACAAGAAAGTCCTCCACGCGGCTATCGTGCGGTACGAGCAGTACCCCGGACGTCGAATCAGTGTCAGTCAGAGTGAGTGTGTGTGTGTGTGGGCGTTTTGTTGATGTTGCTATGTTCAACGCATATGGTACCTCACAGGCGCGAATTACATGGTTGTCTGTCGGGGCTTTATGCGGGTCTAGGGGTTTTGCATGGGTTTCGGCCAATCTAGAGGAGGCTTGTCTCCAAGGATCCGATTACTTGGAACGTAGTTGCATTTCTACAGCATAGTAGAAGTGAGCCGTTACCATGCTTTGTATCTTCGTCCTAGCCATGCGAGAGGCCACGAACCATCATAACCGACCAACTTAGAGAAGCGAGGTCAAACATGTAAACTAGACCCCATACGCCTTGCCTCAGCCCTGAATAACCCAACTTTTTAGGGTTCCTTATTATGATTTCCTTATATGTAAGTCCTAAAAAAGGTAGGTCCTTCAGGGTTAAGGGTTCCTTATTATGATTTCCTTTTAAGTCTTTAAAAGGTCCTTCAGGGTTGAGGTAGGCATAATCTCCAAAGCACCAAGCCGGAATCCTGTAAGCCATGCATAAGACTCTGGGACCGCTTGTCACCTTTAAGAGTCCGAGCCGGTTTAGGGTTTAGGGTTTGGGTTTTTAGGGTTTAAAGGTAGTTTGGGTTTAGGGCTTAGGGTTTGGGGATACAGGTTTGTTTAGGGTTTAAGGTTTGAGTTTAGGGCTTAGGGCTTTTCTGAGCACCTAACCTGCAGTTACTAATGCCAGATATTCTGAACATACATCTTAAACTTGAATCTGTCAACTGCAGGTGCTAGAAAATGTAGTACTTTCGGCTGGTGATATAAATCCTGCATTACCCAGAAGAAGGAATATACCATAATTCCTATAGCTTAGGGCCATATAAAGTAATGCAGGATTTGTATGATCAGCCGTTTGGACATTGTTCGGTCAGAGTGCGAGAACCTGCGACTTGACATCTCCCAGTGTTTGCTTGGCCGACAGTCGCATGCCCAGGATGCGCAAAGCAGTAACATAGGGGCCTTAACTAGAACAGGGTTTTGAGGTATTATGCATTATCAGCATAATATTAAACCACCCCAAATAGCATTGGTTAGTAATTATTGAGGCCCCGATACTAAATCCTTATAACAGCCCTTATAGTAGCCCTTGCAGGCCCCTGTAAAGGAACCCTATATTCAGGCCCCTAAAGTACGCCAAGTCAGGTCGGATGAAGGCAGATAAGCCGGAGCCCCCTTGTACCCTCAAGTACGGGTACATGGTCCCAAATAATGGGCATCTAAGGCATCTAAGGCAATCTAAGGTTTAAGTCTAAGCCTTAAGCCCTAAACCTTAAAGCACATGATCCCAAGAAATGGGCATGTAGGGTCTAAGCCCTAAACCTTAAACCTTCAGGCACATCAGGTTTGTCATTTCTGGTTTTCTGGCTTCAGAAAGGGAGATTTCAGACCCACCCACATCGGCAAGAGAAGAGCTGTTGAGGTCGGATAGAGCTTTCTGCATACTCTAGGGGCCCAAATACTTACGACAGCCTTTTTGGGGGGGTTCCTTCTTACAAATATACAGTCGAGAATACCCCCAAGCCCGACTCTCAATATTAAGGCCCATAAATTATGTTCAAGCATCTGGGCCTGAATGATTGGTAATTGTATCACCTTATCGTGCCTGTATCATCTTGCATTAACTCGGCCCTTGAGTAGTACCCTTTTGCACTTGTTCCTGTTGAGGTCCCATTATTAAAGCCGATGACTCACGAAAGTATTGAAACAGAACCCGCTTCAATATGGACTGCAGTCCACGATCACGAAGCAGTCAATCCGTTAAGCCGATGCTAAAACCCCCTAACTCTTACTCTGCAAACCTGCAAACCCTTACGTACCCTTAGACCCGAAACCCTAAACCTCTATAGATCCCCATAAGGGGCCATCCTAAAACCTACGGTTGATGATATAAATCCTGCATTTCCTTAAGGACCCAAAACTATGGGAATTATGGTAGATTCCTGACTATGGGTAATGCAGGATTTATATCATTAACCGTAGCTCATGAGGCTCTGGATTCCCATTGCCATGGATGCCATGGCCTTCCTGGAAATTGATGAGCTGATACCGCCTCTGGCGGCCGGTCCTGTCCTAGCGGGTTCTGTAGGTTTTCGGAGCACATCAGGGAGCCGTAGGTTTGAGGAGCAACTCAGGGAGCCGTAGGTTTGAGGAGCAAATCAGGGAGCCGCACGCCCTGCGCCGTTCCAGGGGAAGAATATCGCATCACATAGCAAGATGATTCCAATATAGAGCCCTTAGGAGGGCTAAAAAGCTTTCCGGGTAGGCTTGGGGGTTCAGATGGGGCCACTCTCCTTCAGATTTGCATATAAGCTCCAGACATTGACAACCCATGCGCCCTCTGTACACCATCTGCCCCCCTTAGGGCTCAAGAGCCTTCGTTAACTGGGTTCTTGTTAAGAGATTTGGTAAGTTACCATAATGAGGAAACCATATTATGCACTACAGATCCCTATTGTGAAAACTTGAAACAAGTTCCTGAACAAGAACCCAGTCAAGGATGTGGAGTGGGTCTGGCATTGCCACATGCTCTCCCCGACGGCATACAAAGAAGCTTGGCTTTGGAGTTCAGCTCTATTCTAGAAGCCCCCAGCCTCCAAACCTATCTGTACGCAAGCCAACTCCGTCGTCTTTGAGGTTGCAATAAGAAGCCCCCATGTCGCTCTTCATGGTGTGGGTGTTGTGTTTCGAACCGTGTTTTGGTCTAGGTTCGGGCGAATTGGCAGTATCTGCATAGGCAGGCAACTTTTGACATTGGCGAAATACCACCCCCCTCTAAAAAGTCGATTCGTGGGCTAGCATTACGCTTGCAGGTGCCCTCGGTTGTCAAAGATAGCCAAAGGCAAGTCCCGGAACACGAGGATTACTAGTTACCTTTAGACGATCTTGCAGGGTAGCAACGCGGCAGCTGCATGGCCACAGGTGCATTGTTCCTAGCAATAGTTCTCAACCTCGGCTGGGATGCCGCAGCAGAAGCACCACCGTTGAGACCTTCGTCTACAGGAAGTCTCGTGCCTGGCCCAAGATGGGGCCACCCCTAGTCTAACGCCTTTGGTGGCTTTGCCTAGGGAGTACAATGTCTTGTCATGTTATACCCAGCAAGTGGGGTCCCGAGATGACACATCGCCTTACCAGATGCAGTAGGAAGATGTCCTCCGCATCACGAACAACGAGGGTGTCCCGAACCACTGCCTACGTTCGCGGTGCCTCGTCGCAGCTTATGGGTCGGGAGCCCTATATCTAAGAGCCTAAAAGTCTACCAAGACCGTGACAAATCATGATGAGAAGCGAAAAGCCAACATTGAAAGGGCTTGGAGTTTGGGCAATGATTGATTGAGTTGCAGATCACCAGAGCAGATGGATCAGACAATGAAGACGGAGAAGAGGAACTCCGTGAGACGAAGCCGTTAAAGCCCTAAATCGCACAGACCGGCCGAGACAAGAGCCTCTCTCTACACCCGAAGCCCTGCCCGCCCTACAGGAGATGATATAAATCCTGCAGTACCTTAAGGACCCTAAACTATGGGAATTATGGTATATTCCTTATTATGGGTAATGCAGGATTTATATCATCAACCGTATCCTGAAGGCATTCCAACGACTGGTTCGTCGCTCGATCGAGATCGATGCAGTTGCTCGCCTGCAGTCGATGGGGGCAGGGCCTATGGGTTTCTGATCTTGTTCGTAACGGTTCCTACAGGGCTTATCGGGCTCAGGAAACGGTTTTTCTGATTCTTGAAAGCTGTTTAGTATCTTGATGGTTCTTAAACTAACACAGTTGAGCTCGGGCTTTCTAGGGTAATGTTCTTGGGTTTCACGGTTTTTACCCGGCAGCTGCCGATGCGACTCAAAACTACAGTGCCTACCTACCTATAAGCCGAATATCGAACCTCGTTCCTGTCAAGGATCTATGAATATTCCATGGCTAATATGGGGGGGCATAGTATATTGTATTACTATTCAAAAGGAGGCGATGAGGGGACAACATTACTTATTCTTCCGACCCCCCATTTCACAGTGAAAGACCTACGTATCAAGAGATACCACTGTAAGTGCGTGTGCTGAGGTACTACCCGAAGATGCGTCGAAGCAACTCCTCCGTATGCCCGGACTTCTCAATCATGAAGGCATACTAAGACTGATAATTCCTCGCACATGTAGGGTTCAGGATTGCAAGTCTAATGATTGCAATAACATATGGCAGGGCAGCCCCCAAACAAGGAAAGAACACCCGGGGGTCCCAGCAAGGGGTCCCGGTGAATAGCGTGGCCCGGTTAGGATGTTAATGCATTCAAGCATTCTCAAAGCCAAAGGCATTCAGCACACCCAAACTGCGGACTGCCCTTTAGCAATTGGCTCGCCTCGCCTAATACTATCTAATACTGCTCTTGCAGACGGCATAAGCACGACATAGTGTTGCTACCAAGACACGGGTCACTCAACACGATGATGGGCATGTTCTTGAAGCAGTCGTCGTCCGGCTTGTCGAAGTGAGAGAGAGAGAGAGAGAGAGAGAGAGAGAGAGAGAGAGAGAGAGAGAGAGAGAGAGAGAGAGAGAGAGAGAGAGAGAGGGAGGGAGGAAGCTGACAATAGTATAGTAACAGTAAAGAGTTAGTAGCAATAGTGTGTGTGTGTGTATCTATATCTATATAAAATCTTTATACATACATATAACTTAATGAGTGATCGTATCAAACAACGGCCGCTATGAGGCTTTGGGTGGAGCACACCTCGGAGCCTTTCGACATTGTCCCAGTGCTGGCAAAAGCCCCTATGAAGCCTGACAGCATGCAGTCCATGCAGAGTCCAGAGTTGCAGGGCTTAGGGTGTACCTGCACCCACCAGAACCTACTTTTTTGTAGGGTCCCTACAAATTCCAGATTAGGGTTTCTAATAGGAACCGAAAAAATGTAGGATTTGGTAGGCTAAGGTAGGGTATAGGGGCATGCACGCTTGGTAGTTATGTTGCCCCCTCCAACCCGGTCTGTCGACACCCAAACCCTCCCTCCCCTCCAAATCTAGGGGTCTTCTCTATCACTACCAATACTACTATTTTCGGGGGTTCCTTATTATGGTTATAGTATAATACATCCATATACACCAAGACCCTATTCTTATTATTAAGGCCCCCAACACTACCCTTTTGGATCCTCTTGCGCCCCTAATCAAAGGGTCCACCGAACCACCTTACTCAATCCCGCAAGCTTATGCCCCCGTCAGACCACGTTTCAGGTTCCGGCAACATCCTTTTCGTTAGCAGGTTGGAGAAAACATAGTGGTGCTAATAACAAAAACCAGGAAAGACTTTGCGTACCAGCTGTGGCCTTATACACGGCTTAACCGTATAGGTCGGAGTGTCCAGAGGTGCCCCCCAATATGGAAGCCTAGAACAAGATAGCTCTTGGTGAGAAAGTGTGAAATTGGTGGGTCCGCAGGTTTGAGTTTGAGGCATTGCATCTTGCGCCACATAAGGAACTCGCTCAACCCCTTTCCAAGGCAAGCCGTGGTGATTCTCAGAAGGGTGGCATGCAAGGGAGGCTTTGACTTTCAGGACGTAGCTATGTTAGTTAACAGTATGAGGTCTGAAGGATTCTGGCTGTGGGGTTTCGGCGTTGCCCGAAATTCAAACGCCTAAACCATAAAACGTTTATACCCTAAGCCACTACCCTTCAGGAACGTGCTTTGGCTTGGGATCGCTCCCTTCCCAAGGAAAGAAGACCTGAATGAGCCCCTCAACTGCTCCTCTGCTGCTAAGGAGAGGGGTCTGAATCCTAGTGGTAGAGTAAGCAACCTTTAACCCTTTTTTGGGTAGTATAGTCCCTATATATATATATATATATATAGATAAAATCCCTATATACCCAAAAAGGTTAACCTTTAGTTCCCCATGATACCCGACAAGTGGAAATAGTTGCCAATGCTGTTTCGGTGGTTCCTTGCAATGGTTGCAGCAGAATATGCCGCCCAATCTATATCCTAATTATTCAGGCCCCTGCATTGCTGAGATGCCCCAAGTCCTGGAAGGCTAGGCGGCAACTTGGGAGGACGTTTACAGTTCAGGGCATGGTTTCCTCGACATTAGAAGTCGTCTTGCTAGGACTTGTCTCAGTAGCTGAGTGGATGCACTTTACACTTTTGGATTATACTACCTACTACCCACTAAAAAAACAAAAAGTGTACACTTCTTGGGGCTTATGAACTCAGCAACTAAGTTAAGGAATACCTTTAAAGGGATCCATAAGGGTTCCTTTAAGGGTTCCCTTATCAGGGTTCCCTTTTTAAGGGATCCGGAATGCAGGCATCCGGGGAGTCTAGGCAGACTGTTGCTCGGCCGTTCTATCTCGCACTGAACGGGATCAGAAGCAAAGTGGGCGGTTGACAAAAGGAGGGACCCTTAATAAGGACCCCTAGGTATATACCCTTAATTTAGCCATTATATGGGCGGTTGTCAAACTTAGGGTCCCTTTTTGGGTGCCCTAAATTTTAGGTGCCGTACTATATGAAGGACCCAAACAGGGAGCCTGATTTGGACAACAACCCAAGTGGAAGAGCCACAGTTCGCCGGGGAGTTGGAGATGATTATACTGCGCGCAGGCAAGCAACATGAAAAATAACGGCTGCGTTGTGTCGATTGTTATTCATGTCATTCTCACGGCATTATAACCTTGCTGCTGGCAGCAGTAGGGGCTCTGAGAATAAACATGATGACACGAACTTTATGGCGTAAGTGACCCTTAGCCCTAAACCGAAAGCCGCACTGTTTCACAGCCCTACCTGAACTCTGTACCCCTAAACCCTAAACTCTACACCCTACAAACCCTATAAACCCTACAAACCCTAAACCCAAACCCAGGCCTCAGCCAGTACGACTTGATAGGGGCCTGCGAGCGTCAAAGTGCCTTCTACTATCAGGTTGCCGTGCTTCTCGACTCGATGTATCTCATTTAGGGAAAGTTCAGGGTTTAGGACTTCAGGGTTTTCAGGTTGATAGAGTATTAAAATGTAAGGTTACGGGCCTATCAAGCTTTAGGTTTAGTGTAAACGTATAATAATAATACTGTAAGTTATAGTGTAGGAGTTGTGGCTTATAGGGTTGGTTGAACTCATCACAGGGAGACATGGGGTGATATGAGCTACGTCAGCCGGTGGCAAAGTGTATAGAGCGGGCTCTTGGGCCTTTGGAGGTTTCGGTGACTAGATTCAGTGGTTTAGGGCTCCAGGGTTTAGAGTTCGGGGTTTTGGGGTTTGGGGTCCTTGCCTTTGTTGTAGAGTTTGTGGCTTCCAGCTTATTGGGGTTTGCATGGCCTTGTGGCCTGCCAAACTCTGCAACAGATGGCAAGCAGCGCAGTCTGACAGTAAACCCCAAGTCCTGCCCCCACCTGCAGATTGCAGAGATTCTGAGATACTAAAGTTACCTGGCGCCAGACAGGGTTTTGATAGGAGGAATCCTCACTTTTGCTGGTGTGCGTTGTTCCTATACAAAGGAGTTCCGATCCCTCTAGATCTGTGCAAAATGGCAAAAGAAGTCTACCAGGATGCCCCACTACCGCGATCGATATTTCCTCCAGCTGGCGGCCGAGAGGTATCTAGACGCTTGGCTTTCCGTCGGGTTTGTCATTTCCGGGCTGATCTTGAAGCAGGGGACATTGTATGTATGGTTATGTATGTACGTATGTATGTAGGTATGTATGTATGCATGTATGCATGTACTTCGTATGTATGTATGTATCTATGCACATGTGTAAATATGTGTGTGTATATATATATATATATGTGATACATGCACACACACACACACACACACACAGCCATACCCACACCCACACCGACACGCACCCGCACCCCCACCCACACCCACACCCACACCCACACCCACACCGACCCACACCCACACCCACACCCACACACCCACAGAGGCGCATCATCGGGTTTAGGTTGGCGTCCGGGGAGTCTGTGACATGACGCCATGTAGTCCTGTCTTGCGCCCTACTCAGCAGGTGACAGGCAGTGAGTGAGAGCATGGTCGGCTTGCATTCCCAGCCGTTCTCAGGACAAGTTCTTAGAGTTGAAGAGACAGCGTCCAGATGAGTTCTGGGTGCCGACCTACGACATCGACTGCACCCCGGTGCTTCAGAAATCTGGTGAAACGGCGTAGTTTTCCAGAGATGATCAGTATTGCCGCGTATGTAGGGTTTAGGGTTGTGCTCGCAAGCAGTTTTCTCCAGGCTGCTGCCAGGATGTAGCATGTCTCAGTCACATCGTGTTGTCCTGCAGCTGCACCATGCAGGACTCCTATAAGTAGAGGTGCTGAAGCCCACGTACGAAACCCTGCACAGTAGACCAACCAACCTGAACAGCGGCCTTGCTTCTCCTCAGCATGCCGATCAAAAGATACGAAGGGATTCCGGTCAACTTCTCAAACCCCAAACCGTAAGCGGTTCTATGGGTAGTTCTCTAAACTGGTACTTCAGGGGACCCAAAACGGGACCCGAATTCAGAGAACAACCCATATGCATTGAAGTCGGGCTTCCGTGTCTGGTGATATTTGCTCAACTCGCCTCCTTACTCGAAGCTCCAAGACGCCTGTGAGAATTTCAGAAGCACAGAACATGCTGGAACTTGCCAGTGCACGAACAAGGAAGAGAGAGAGAGAGAGAGAGAGAGAGGGAGCAAAAGCCAGTAGGAGAGAAACGAACAAAAAGGCAGATAGAGATAAAGACTGATATAGACAGAGAGAGCTGGAGGGAGGCAGAAAATGTACGGGCATCTAGAACTATACATAGACAGAGAGACGGAGGGGCTGACAGGCAGACCCAATGCGACACACAACGCCGGGAAGGTGACCTGAGCCTCCAAAGCCAGAGCCAGTTAAAGAAAAGAAGCCTGGATGACTACGTAAATGAATCTGTAGGGCTCTTTGCCAGACTTTTACTATATTGTTACAATAAAAGCTTGCCTATATCAATCTCGCTGGTTCCTTGTCATAACTTCATAACTATACTATAGTAGTATACCCGGCAACCTTATTCCAATGATTAAGGCCCTTGTATCTAGGGCCGTCAGTGGTTGAGACCTGTCGTTGTACAGGCTAGTCGGCGCGGTCACCCCGCAACGGGTCAACGCATGCAAGCAAGTGTCGAGAAGTCTGTCTTGCACGAACTTACACAGTGCCACTTCCTACCATGCGTTGAGTAAGAACGCGGGATGACGCAAATTACTGAACTGCTGGAGACAATCAAGCTGGATCCTGTGTTGGAGCATGAACTCATGAATTCGGCCAGGCGTGGCTCGCGTAGCCCATTTATTGGATGTCACAAGTGTTACTACATGTAAGGATCAAAACTCACTATAAGGCTATACGGGTTACTTGGAGGGTCGGGGGACTTAGTAACTGGTTATTTTAAGGACTTGCAAGTACCAGAACCCCAATTAGGGTCCCTTTTAGGGTACTTATAAGTCTACTTACTACCTACTTACTAAGTCCCCCGACCCTCCAAGTATCAACTATCATAAGACCTCAGAGCTTCTTCGGGATTCGTCGAGCATGATATCAAAGTAGTCGGAGATCACCATTAGGTCGCTGGATCGTGCCTGACCCATACCTCGAACTGAGCCCCCCGCCAAAACAAGAGACAACAAAAACGCCCTTAACCTTGACACCCCAATGCAAAAATCTGGAGCGCTAAGAGTCGCATCCTAACCTGAACTCCTAATCCCTGATCCGTACCAAGCTACCCTGAGCTCTAAACACCAAAGCCCGCCCAAGGCATTTGGCACGCGCATCAGCTACATCCCTGGAAATATGAAGAGGAGACTGCTGAGCTTTGCGGCCGTCTCCTCCCACACGATGACAGCGCCTCTGATGGTAAGCCGTACTTGGAGGTTCATGGGTAGTTCTAAGTGGGGTTATAAGTCCCCTAACATGGGTTATAAGTATAGTTACCCTGCTTGTAACTACTACCCATGAACCTCCAAGTATAGCAACCCTTGTAGTAGCCCTTATCAACAGCTGCTGTTGTCCCAATGCCCAAGCCAAAAATGCAGGGTTCAGGGTTTAGGGAACCCCTGACAGATGGTGCAGTGATTGCGATTGTTCTTTTCTCTCAAGGGATCTTCAGCTTAAGCTTCAGTACGTTGTCATCTACAGCTTTTCCTCCGAACTCTGGCCTGAAAACGGGGCTGCGAGTTCAGTAGGCGCTGGCCGGCACCTCAGTCCGTACTGAAAAGGGAACCCCGGACCCCAAACTTAGAACTCCGCCCCTGAAGCCCTTTCGCTCAAAGGGGAAAGGAGGGACCCTTAATGGGGACCCCTACCCTATAATGGGCTATATGATGGGTATATAATAGCTTTATTAAGGGTATATACCTGGGGGTCCTTATTAAGGGTCCCTCCTTTTACCCTGGGATTGGCCCCAAGTTCCCATGCCCAGGTGTGAATGACCGCAGCTCGGGATCCCAGCTGTCCCTTCGATGGGAGCAAACGAAGCAAGCCTGGAAGGTGCGCTCCTTGCTTTCTTGGCCGTACCCATAGGCTCCATAGTAGTTCCTTTTTGGGATTACCTTATAGGATTCTCTTTTTGTACCCCAAAAAGGAACTACTATGGAGCCTCTGGGTAGAAGCTGGTTTCATACATATGTATCCTGTTGACTGAACATGTGGTGTGGAGGTTTGCACACAGACAAATGCATACATCAACGCCTTCATGTGTATACCTTTACCCAAGAAATGTTTCAGTTCAGGTTGCTTCAGTAGTCAATGTGCTGCGTCTTCGGTACGCAGGAGATCTTTCGTGACGAAGGACCATACCGCAGCGGCAGCATGTACCGGGGTACCGTGACGGCGCAGGTGGGCTGTGCTCACGGTAACTTCATTGCGAAAGCCTCACTTCCAGGCCAGTAACCCGGAACCCTAACTAAGTCGCAGAAACAGTGGATTATTGTTCCAATGTTCCTGACCCTTCCACTCCACTGCAAGAGGTTTGGCGTAAGGGTTGAGGGTTAGGAATAGATTAGGCATTGGCTGCCTGGTTTGGGGTTTTTCGAGGTGCACCTAAGCTTGCTAGACCCAATCCCCCCAACTCTGCATGTGACATCTTGCAAAGGCTCCCAGTGTAATGCCTAAACATGCCCAAACTGTAAACTGCAAACTCCACGCACCCCTAAAATTCGCTGGCCCTCCGCTTTTTGAAACAACTCCCGACGTCACTACTCGAAACTACCCACCTGCTGCAGAGAAGGGCGATCCTCCCCAACACAAGGAGCGATTGAGTCGCGAGCAGCAGTGGAACTACATGCGCTCCGTGATTGGTCCGGATGTGTACCTTGGCCGAATGAGGAGGGGCTTCTTAAGACGGCTTTGTATAGGCCCTCCAGCCTAGGGTTCAGAGTTCAGGCAATATGGTACGTACCCTATAAACCCTGAGCCAATCCGAAAGGTTGTGTCCCCAAAGGCCCTTCTGGAGTCATCAAGGGCAGGCCATGCCCGCCTTACGGACCCCCAATCTGGGAGTTTCCGAAAATAGGGGACCCTAATATAGTGCGCTAAATGGTAGGCTCCTTATTATAAGGACCCCAAAATAAGGTACCCCCAATTTTCGAAAACTCCCATCTCATCGATTACGAGCCCGAGTACGTTGCACCCTTGAGCAAAGACCTTCATCACTCCTCAGGGAGCCTCAATAAATTTTAGGATAATATAAGTATACTTCGTTTTTTCTGCAAAGCTTTTTCTGATTATGAAGGCATGTGTAGCAGGTTCACCAGGTGAGGCTCAAGCTGAAAGCAGCTTACTGTTGCAATTCCATTCCTTAGCTGACTTCAGCCTTAGAAAATACTAAACAAATGCGGTTCAGGGCTCCTACTTTCTCAACTGTTCAGGACACTTGCGGAATGATTTTGGCCTATTGTGTTTGCATCCGTTTTCGCAGCCGTGAGTTTGTGAGCATCCTCGGCCCCAAATAACCTACCAGTACCTTTTCAACGACCTACCTAAAGAAATCATAAAAAAGGAGCCCTACACAGGCAAGTTTTCTAGGGTTCAGGATGTTCTCGTGTCAACTGTCAATGATATAGCGCGCCTTTGGCATAACCGAGAGTTGAGCTCTAAGTCTCATGAGCCACGAGCCTCACGAGACACACATCCTGCCATTCTTATTGTTATTATTCTTGTTCTTCCTCGATATTGTTGTCATTAGTATCATGGGTATTGTTGGTGTTATTGCCACGATGAGTCGTGAATTCCTTCAACCCGATAACCTAAAGCCAATTTCCCCTTTTTGCCAGTTTTTCTAGAAGCCTTTGGGTGCAGGATTGAGAGCTCGTGGCCAAGATGTAGGTTCCAAAGGTTTGGGGTTTTCCTTGCTCTGCCGAAGCCAGCTTTTCTTTGGGTAGGTGTCTACAAACTCTAAACTATCGGCTCCACGATGTTATTCCCGAACTTTCCCTAAACCCTCTGTGCCCTCCTCCCAGCAGATTCAAGCTGTAAACACTACAGTATTACACCCCTAAATCCAAAGGCCCATGATACCCTCTCAGCCCTAACATCCCAAAATAAAAACACTAAGACCCAAAATCCTGCATTGCCCCTAAGCTCTGAAGTCCCCAATCCGAAAGTTGCAGTGTCGCTGTCAGTGCTCGGTGTAGTCTTGACGACTGCTGGGCAAACACCACACATGGGAATTTCCGAAAGTAGGGGACCCTAATATAGTACCCCAAATAGTAGGATCCTTATCATAAGGACCCTAAAATTAGGTACCCTTAATTTTCGGATCCTTATTATAAGGACCATAAAATAAAGGTATCCCCCTAATTTTCGGAAAGTCCCACATCGTGCATCGTCGTCGCTGCCGGGCTCTTCGGACCAAAGGGGAAAATGAGGGACCCATAATGGGGACCCCTACCCTATGATGGGCTACATGGGTGGTTGTCAAAATTGTGGTCCCTTTTTGGGCCCCCGTTGTGATACGGTGTACCCAAAAGTGGACCATAATTTTGACAACCACCCATATAATGGCTATATTAAGGGTATATACCTAGGGGTCCTTATTAAGGGTCCCCTCCTTTTACCCTTGGAGAGTACCACCCTGCTTGGCGGGTCGCAATGAAACCCCGAAGCCCTCTTCTAAACCCTAAACACTCAGAGTCCTAAACCCGCAGGAGCCTTTTAATCCCTAACCTCGTCTGAGTCGAAACCGCGAACCGGCGAAAACCTAAACCCTAAGAGCCCTAAGCCCGAAAGAGCCTTCTAGGCGCTATCGCCCTAAACCCTAAAGCCCAGAAGCCTTAAATCCGAAAGAGCCCTCTCAACCCTTCTGCCCTAAGCCCTCCCAAAAGCTCTGAATGCGAAAGAGCCCTCGCTTCAGAAACATCCGCGCCGACGTGGTCTGGAAGGTCACGCTCGGGCCTGCGTGGGCGGAGCCTCAGAGGCCGACTCTTAGGCTTTGGGGGTTCCTCTAAAGGGGGGTTTAGGGTTTTAGGGTTTAGGGTATTATAGGGGTTCCTTTCAGGGTTCTTCTAAGGATTTTTTTACATCAGTCCTTTAGAAGGCAGGGTTAAGGCATAATCCGTGGATTAGGGTTTATGACGACCCCAGCCCGTGTCTCAGAAAAGGCTCGGGGGTCAAGGGTTTCAATGTTTGAGGTGCACGTGTCTGGAGCTTACGGCTACGAGCTTACAGGGTTGCAGGTTTCGTAAGTTTCAGATCTGGCTTTAGAGAGGGAGGGAGAGAGAGAGAGAGAGAGAGAGAGAGAGAGAGAGAGAGAGAGAGAGGGGGGTGGGAGAGAAAGATCGTGTTTGAGAAGACACAGCTGCATTGATTCGTTTCATATCCCAAACTCTGCATCATTACATGCATACATCGCATGCCTTAGTGCATACCCACTCGTGCATCCACACACGCAAAACTAAATGTCTACGCACGTATGTATGTATATCTATACGTATATCTATATCTATATCTATACTTATATCTATATCTGTATGTATATCTGCATCTATAACTTATTCGTATGTACGAACACACATACGTAAAAATGTAATGGTGTGCAGTTCTCAACCGCCAGCATCCTTCCAAATCTCGTTCGAAGCCTCGCTCTTAAACTTCTCGTAGGCTTGAACACTGAAGCAACCCAAACCGAACAGACAGAATTGCGTCAGGTGTAGGGGTTTAGGGTTTAGGGTTTAGTGAGGGATTGGGATCGCCAGCTTCGGCTTCGGGGCTTAGTGTTTACCTGGACCCCCTTTTGTAGGTTTTGGGCTGTTATTTTGCATCCTTTGGGGGGGGTGGGGGTGTTTAGGTAGGCTTCAAGGTGTCGGGTTCACTTTGTAGGGCTCATGGCCTAGACAGCCGGGGCATAGGGCCTGCTCCCTCAAAACTAACATACGACCGCCCGCAATGAAACTCTATCGAGGGTTGCTTTGGGTATATACTGAGATACTACTTGGATGGGTAGTTAAGTGGGGTTACAAAGTAAGGTAACTATGGTTATAATAACCCATGTGTAACCCCTTGTATAGCAACCTGTGAACCGACCTTAATGAAAAGAATATGGTTTTGGGGCCATTATACGAAAGTTACAATACGGGGCCGCCCAAAATAGTACAATTATTTAGGCCCCTGTATTGGTAGAGTAGAGTAGAAGAGTGCCTCGCCAGGACCGAGTTGAAGTGGGTCCACCGGAAAGATCTGGACAACGAGGTCACGGGGGGGGTAGCTGCGCCGTCTGCAGCTTTCTAATTGATATAGAGGCTTGAATAACTACTACTACCATTCTTGGGGGTCCTTATTATAAGTATAGTACAATGGGCCCCAAAACCCTATTCATTAAGGCCCCTATATCACAACGACATCCCAATCGCAGTCGGACGAGAGAGTGTAGGGCGGGTTTCCCCCTCATCGGTTTGCCATTCGGGGTTGTGCTGCCGCAAATTACGGTTGCAACGACTGCTTCAGTTACCTCTTCCAGCACAACTACTGCTGCCACCTGGACTCCAAAAATATTTAGAATAACGGCTTTTTATGGATATTAACCAAAATTATAACTACATTTGGGGTTAGTTAGCCGTTCTGCCAATTATTTGTATGCTAAGTGGTGCAATGCCGAGGCCCACTTCGGACCTGTATAGGGCTGTCTTGGGTCTTCGTGCTTGCAGCTATTATAGGGTTCAGTGTTTTAGGGTGTTGGGCTTTCAGGTTTAGGGCTTTTTGAATTAGGGGCTTTAGGGTTCAGGGTTATGGGATCCTGGGCAAACTGCTTCAGGTTGTGGATTGATTCACGCCATCCTTGCAATTTACACAAGGAGTGTTTTGCTGCATGGAGTTCATCGGCGTCTCCCTCCGACGAGTAGGGCCCTTTTCAGGCTGAACCAACGCTCAATTGAGTTCTGGGGTACGGCTTCGCACGATTCCCCACCATTCTAATTATCAAGGCGCCTACACTAGGCTGCATGGACTGCATCACCACTTGGGCTCTCTAATTTCTGAAGTTGCTGGTCATGTCGCGGCATACTGGCTTTAAACTCTCCTTCAAGATTTAACCCCTGCTCTTGTCGTTGGAGTTGCTTTTCCGTCTGTTGCCGCTCTTGGTACTTGTGTTCATGGAGAGCACCATGATGCATTCATTGTGCACAAGTTTTTAACGCCCGCATCCGAAGCCACAAGATCGCCTTTCCCAATTCTTCCAAAACCTCTCGATCCGTTCTTGATGTTTACTGCTGTCCTAGTCCCAGGCCTGAATAATTACCAATACTATTCTGGGGGTTCTTTATTATGAATACCGTATAATGGGCCCCGGCCCTTTTTTGAGGAGGGTTTGGTTCAAATTTCAGTGCTGGGTTCAGGGAGCTAAGACGGGAAAGTGGCAACAATTCGCTTGCAAAAATTTTGGGCACTGTTAACTGTGATGCAGGAACCTGATCAAGAAACCCTGGGCCTACAGCCCCAAAATAGTAGGAGTCATATAAGGGACCCTAATAAAGGCCCAAGGTTTCCTAATCAGTTTCCTACATCACCCCGGACATCTTCTACTAAACTTCCAGAGAAAGCCATAGCAACCACTGAGACATGCATGAGCCCTAAATCCTCAGCCACCCTGGAGGTGAATGCTGTGGTGGGACTTCGACGCTTCTCCTCCTTGGGCACACTGAATGCGCAGGCGCAGAAGTTTCCCGTCTTTGGTGTATCGGCGCTGAGGGCTTTGGTGGATTCAGGGTGTAGCTACGCTGGTGTTATGTTTTCGGTGCTGTTGTGCTTTGGGCACTGTTTTTTGCAGAGCTTTACATTGACGGAATATCCAAGTCTCAGGGCGTAGAGCATTTTATTAGCTGAGCGGCTGTTCCTGGTGATGTCCTCGGGTTGAGGGTTTAGGGAACCCTCACAGCAGAGCATGCATGTCAGCACCTACACCTCCGCAGCCCTAGCAACGCTCGGGCTCGGGATGCATTCGTCCGACTATTGTTCATAGGCCCTTGCCCGACAAAGTTGGCGCTGTATAGGTAGGATTGCTCCGCTCCCTGGATTAGTTGCATACCGAAGCCCCCTCCACACACACAGACACACACAGACACACACACACACACACACACACACACACTCAAGCACACACACACACACACACACACACACTCACACACACACACACACTCAAGCACACACACACACACACTCACTATGGGAGCTTCTTCGCTGAATCCGGAGAGTTCTGTGCGATACACCAGCGACTGTTCATGGCTCCAAGAAAGCCGGAATCGGAAGAAAAGGGAAAACGCCAGAGCATTTGCAACATGAATCTTCAAGGTTGGTGAGTCCTGGATCCAAGTTACTTATGTCATATGTAGCGAAGGGCGTATACGAGTCAATGCTTGAGACACTCAGCCGCGTCCAACCCTCCCCCCCAAGCCATTCAAAGCCAACCTCATCCTTAAACCCCCTGTGTCAAGGGCAGTTACATTCAGGTTTAGTTTCGATGACCAAAGGCAGGAGTCTGGTGATTGATCCCAGTTTCTTCGAAAATTCTTCCCAAGCGCCTGCATCCATATAGGGTGGTAGCAAGTCGAAGAGGTTCCATTGCATTGTATGCCTGTAGCCCCCAAAGCCCTGCGCTCTACGGGGTCTTAATGGACTAGCCGAGTATAGAAACCGGAATCTTATGTAAATACCACTATTCGTCAAGGTTTTCCTCATTAATTAGTATAAGTGTGCCATAATTGCACCCCAAAACCCTAGTCGAATTGTGAAGGCCCCTGTATTGCACCCCAAGCCAAAGCCCAAGCACTTAACACTGAACTTCGAACCCTGAAGCCATCGCCTTCCTCTGCTCTGAGAGGTGGTACACGGCCGAACCAAGCAGAAGAGCTTCAGCTATGTGGAGGCTGCGGGCTGCAACGTGTGAATTTCAGTATACAGTAGAAGCCAGAAAGTTGGAATATCATCATCCTAACCCCTTTAAGGTAAATTATAGGGGATCCTACCATTAATCCATATTCCAACTTTCTGGAGTTCCCTGTAGGGTATAGGGATCGGAATAAGCATCAGCCGTCTCCCCACTCTGTTTTCGCGTTCATCATTTGGGGCTGCTATCCCTTACGGGGACGCTTATACAGACCCTTACAGGAGCCCTTTAAGGAAGCCTTATAGATCCCCTTAAGGACAAGGGGCATTCAAGGTCACAGGCTGCAAACTCTTTTTACAAAGTCCGGCCAGTGAGCGCCTGCATCTCCGGACATGAACTTATACACACCCAAATGTGTACTATAGTACCTACATATAGTTTCCAATACATTTTCTTTTTGCTTTTTTTTTTTTGGGGGGGGGGGGGTGGGGGGGGCGTCCTTTGTTATCATTAGAGTATAATGGGCCCCAAAACCCTACATTCTAATTATTCAAGGTTCTATACGAGAGCCGTTGGATGCTGCCAGTCAAGTGCCAGGTCATGAAAGATCCTCATAAGCTGCTGCCAGTCGTCACAGCGCACTCCATCGACTTTGATCAACTTCCGAATGAGATGCAGGCGCCCAGCGCGAAAGCCTGAAACTCGATGACTTCGACCCATAAACTCCTAAGCCTTGTAGACCCTAAACTCCTGAGCCTCAAACCCTTAGCTTCGTCAGCCCATACCCTATTCCCAGGTTCAAGCTGGAAGTCTAGGCCTCAAATTCTGCAATGGACCATTCATAAGTTTGAATAACTTGCAATACTTAGTATTCCTCAGCGTTCCTTATTGGAGGTGTGTGTCTGTGTGTGTGTGTGTGTATTTATACACATCTACACACTAACATCTGCAGTAACATTCCCCCAACGCCCGGCTGAAATTAAGGCTTCAATGCTACTGTGCTAGGGCTTCGTGTTTCAAAAGTGGGGAGGAGGGGAGGAGGGGATTAGGACCGATGTCTCCGAAGTCGACTCAGGTCCCAAATCCAAAGCCCTTTCCGGTTTAGGGAGTCGGGACTCGGGTAATTAGAGATTAAGGTTTGTGGATTAGGGTTTAGAGATAGCGGGTTTAGGGATTAGTGCTTGCTCCAACTCAGGGCGAAGTGGAAAGCCTGTTGCAAAATGGGTTGTGGTCCGTTGTGGTTTTCCGAGTTGACCACGATCCCCACCACTCGGCTGATAGTTCTCTAATTCGGGTTTAGCGTTCCTTTCAGCGGCACTGCATGGTGGACCTTAGATCCATAACACACATATAGAAAGCCTGTGCTGTATATTCAACCTTCAATCGTTTCTTCTGGGATTACAACCCAAAGTTGCACTACTAGACCCTCAGCCGCTTATGGAACCCTTCATAGAAAACCCTATAGAACCTTAAACACCAAACTCCTAAACCCTAAGCCCCTTATATGGAACCCTTGTAGGCAGCCCCTTGGGAATCCTTGCAAATCTCTATGGGCGCCAAAAAAGGATACGAGAGGCAAAGATGCCAGCGCAAGAGCACATGCACTTTAGTATGTGGGGTAGTCACAATTATGGCTCCGTTTTGGATACCCTAAAGACTTAGGTGCCGCACAATAATAAGGACCCAAAAGGGACCCTGAATTTGACAACCACTCATGTGGGGTGTATAGGGTTTAGGATGTAGGGTTTGAGGGTTTAGGACGCGGGCAGTGGGGTTTAGGCTTTAGGATGAAGGACGTCGGATTTAGGGTTTGGGATTCGCATCCACATCTTAAGCCGTGGTGAACTCAACCGCGCACGAAAAGACAAGACAGGTTACATCACCGTCAACTCCACGCAGTTGGTGTAGTTGCATGCGGTTCAGGTTTTTGGATTTGCAGCGGTTTACGGCTAGATTTCGCAAATCAAAGATGGTTCCATCTTTTGAACTAGAAACCCAGAACCCGACCCGAACCTTACAGAGCTAAGAGACTAACCCCGGAAAGCCTCAACGGATTTGGGAGTTTCCGAAAATTAGGGTTACTTTATTTTGGGGTCCTTATAAGGATCCTACTGTTTAGGTTACCATATTAGGGTCCCCTTTTTGGGGTCACTATAATAAGGATCCTACTATTTAGGTTACCATATTAGGGTCCCCTTTTTGGGGTCTTTATAAGGATCCTACTATTTAGGTTACCATATTAGGGTCCCCTTTTTGGCGTCTTTATAAGGATCCTACTATTTAGGTTACCATATTAGGGTCCCCTTTTTGGGGGTCTTTATAAGGATCCTACTATTTAGGTTACCATATTAGGGTCCCCTTTTTGGGGTCTTTATAAGGATCCTACTATTTAGGTTACCATATTAGGGTCCCCTTTTTGGGGTCTTTATAAGGATCCTACTATTTAGGTTACCATATTAGGGTCCCCTTTTTGGGGTCTTTATAAGGATCCTACTATTTAGGTTACCATATTAGGGTCCCCTTTTTGGGGTCTTTATAAGGATCCTACTATTTAGGTTACCATATTAGGGTCCCCTTTTTGGGGTCTTTATAAGGATCCTACTATGTAGGTTACCATATTAGGGTCCCCTTTTGGGGGTCATTATAATAAGGATCGTACTATGTAGGTTACCATATCAGGGTCCCCTATTTTCGGAAACTCCCATTTGAGGTTTCAGGACTCAGGCTTCCAACGGCAGCCACGCAATCGCAGGTAAGCGCTGAGGCTGCGACGTGCCCCACATTGGACAAGCAGGCACGGAGTCCGAAACCTTTCCCTGCCCTTCAAGAAATCGGGGCCTAAATAATTACCTATACTATGTATTTTGGGGGTTCCTTATTTTATTGTAGTATAATTGGCCCCAAGAAGTTTTATTCTGATTTTTAAGGGCCGTAAGTTATGTGATCCGTGTACGCCCAACGGTCCTACTCCCTTGTATACATACCCCGGCACCGGGCTCGAAGTCTGTAGAGTTTAGGCTAAACCTCGAACCGTTGAGGTTTTATCTCGAACTCGTAATCCCAACCCCATACGACCCCCAAACCACCCTAAACCCCAAGACCCAAATAGACGAAGGAAGAGCCCCACACCTTGCGCTTTAGACGGAGAGCAGGTAACCATTAGCGTCTTTGGGGTACGCTGTGATCCCTGTATATCCTCAAAAGTTAACCTTTAGTCCCCCCGGGATACTGGACAAGTAAGACAGGAAAAGGCTTATCTCATCCGAGTGGCCGGCGAAGATGTGGCGGTGCTGGTGGGCGCCTGGGCTCGTGTTTCAAGGGCCCACAGCAACCACTAAAAGTTCTGGGGCCGTGCAGTCCTGGGCGTGGTAAAGATCCTAAGAAATAGATCTAAATAGCTGCTTCAATTTCATAAAACAACAAAACCCCTAAACACTATGGCCTTAACCCTTGTGCAACCCTTTTTGGGCCTTAAACAGCTTTTCAAGCACCCCTTACCCCTTGCATGAGCCTTTATAGAATTCAGAAGACTCTTAGAGACTCCATGTAGTACTTCAAGTTCAAGTCCTTTGCAGAAGCCGAAAGCCCTTCTAGGACCTTAAGCTCCACTACCCCTCAAAAATAATCTCTTGAACACTAGAACCCTACCAAAATCCTCATAGACACCCTAAACCCCCTGAGCCCTAACCCAAAGCCTAATCCCTCCAAGAGAGCCCAGGCGAATGGGCCGGCTACCGACTTGGAAAAGCTCAAAAAGGCGGTATCTTGGGTGGGCAGTTTCCGCTTTAGGGTCCATGTGCCCTTTAAGGGATTCTCCAGGGGTTCCTTTAATGGGAAACCCACGGGTTGTATAGGGGTGCTAGAAAGGTTCTATAGGGTTCAGGGTAGAAGGGTCCATGCACCCAAATAAAGGTTTACTTGGCTTTTGGCTGCCTTTAGTCGGTGTAGGTTATCAGGCATTTTGTGTGTTTTGCAAGGGGTCTTCACAGGGTTCATAGATTGTAGATGTTGTCTTACAAGTGTGTCCGTCGTTGGTGTAGCGTGCATGATTTCTGTAAAAGTTCTTTAGAGTTTGGAGTGTTCTCTTGATTGTACAGGGGTTGCGTAAGGGTTTAGGGTTTAGGGTTCCCTTACAGGGGTGTTGATTGAGCATCATTATTTAGAAGCTGCCCCCACCCTGTAATAATGACTATAAGGATTATATTAGGGCCCTAATATACTCCTACTGTAATATACCACTATTACAGGGTGGGGGCCCCTTCTAAATCATTATTGCCACGCTCTTTTCTCGTGATTTGGGGCCGGGATCCTCGCGGCGACTGCTGGGTTGTTGGTGAGCTGCTTCCTGAGCCGGCCGTCCCTCCTTAAACTTAAACGGGTATCGATTTGGGATAGTTTTTATGTTCCAGTATTGTTCAGTATAGAGCCCCAGTTGTAAACAAAATTGCTGACTGTTGCCTCGTTTAAAGTTAAACCACAAAGAATGGACAAGTCCTGCAGAGACCTCCGGGTTTATCTTCTTTACCTAGTCTGCCCAGGCGACAGGGCATGCTGAAAACCTAGCCGAGACGTCCTCTTTGCTGTCCGTAGACTTTCTACGGACAGCACGGATCAATGTTACCCAACACCAAAGTCTTCTGGGACAAGCAGGCACACGCCCCTAAGCACCTTTGTAAAATTATAGAACAGTAGCACAGCGCAAACTTACAGCACCCAGACCACACCAGCCCTGCCCCAGAACACTGAACGCCAAACTCTCAAGCCCCTATCCAACAGATTCCCACGCTGCGTTTTAGGTCAAAGGGTTCGTGTTTTTATGGCTATGCATTTGCTTTCGTTCAAAAGTGACAACACTACACATGTATCATATCCATAATACTACACACCACACACCTTTTTGTTTCTCTCGTCTCTCTCTCTCTCTCTCTCTCTCTGTCATTTCCGAGGCCGGAATGCAAAGCATCGTTCTTCTCTTACCCGGAAATCTGATGCCTCACACACTCATACTCAACCCTTGTCCTACAGCCGTAAAACACCATACATCCTCGAGCCGCAGAGGGCCTAAAGCCCAAGCCCTAAACATATCCCGAAGGCTTCCCCTAGGGTTTAGGCTTTAGGGTTTAGGGTACAATCATGTAAACCTCAAGCCCTCAACACCTGTGCAGCCTGTGAAGCCTTCACAAGCATAAGCGCTGTAGCGTCCATGGTTTCGCAGGAAGGCCTGGCAAGAAGCCGGTGAGGTTGGTGGGAGCAGCAGGTCGAGCCTTGGCTCTAGAGTTTATTGTTGTTAGCATTATCTTACTATGAATGTTCATTAGTATGAATATTTCTTTTCACATTGGTATCAATGTTTGTTTTCTTGAACTGGGCCTTTTTGGGTGCAGGCTACAATATGTGCATATCAGGGGCGTTTAACATGGGGTGTTGACTCTCCAATCTGGGCTCGCTCAATGTCCTGGTCACTTAACTTTACGGTGTAGGGTTTATAGAGCCGGCGCCTCAGTTCCTGGCATATGCGTAGTCCAGGTGTAAAAGGGTTTATAGAGCTTCGTTTCATCCTTTCCCAATGATATATTTAGGCCCCTATATACCAAAACCCAAGCCCTTAGGAAGCCCTCTAAGAACCCTTGTCACGTCGAACTATATTGAGGGCACTAGCCTGATGAGTTGCTCGGGTTACCATGAGAACCGCATACAAGACAGGTTATCTGAAAACAGGTACCCGAACCCCGGCCTGCATCTCGCAGATTCATACTATAGAACCCCTACGTAATCCCAAAAAGAACCCGTGAACCGAGGGTGTGGGCTCGTTTTTAATACTGAGCCTTGTTGTATCCCTTTTTGTTGCCCTTATACTAACCCACCTGGTATCTCCTGTCGGTTGATAGGCTTCCTTGCTTTCGTCATAGGGACCCTTGCTCTTCTTCCTTAAATAGGCCCTTGGGTCCTTGTTATGGGCATTACGGCCCCCTGCCCCCTAAAGGTCCCTATGAGTTCGCCTGCCGAGGACTCTTTGTGCGAATGTACGCGCTGAGGTCTTATGGAGAGATGGAGGTACCCCGCTGGCGAGGGATTTGAAGGCTGTTTGTTGAGGGTCGTTAGGTTAGGGCCCGGGATAGTTACCACTTGGAGGTTCAGGGGTAGTTATAAGTAGGCGTATGAATACGGTAGCTATAGCTATAGCCCATATATTAGAGGACTTATAACCCCACTTATACCTACCCATGAACCTCCAAGTACGGGTCGTTAGGTTACTAAGGGATAGTCACCAAGGTTGCCATAAAGGTTTGCCACAACTTGGAGGGTCGGGGGACTTAGTAAGTAGGTAGTAAGTAGAGTTATAAGTACTCTAAAAGGGGCCCTAATTGGGGTTATGGTACTTATAAGTCCCAAAAATAACCAGTTACTAAGTCCCCCGACCCTCCAAGAAGGGTACTTTGAGGGCTCCGCTGGGACGCGTCTTCCCCTGCGGTCGGAACTGCGGGGAGGTTGCCGAGTACTTCGAAGATCGGGACTTCGAGAGTTCAATATCCCAAAGGGTCCAAAGTACTGTTATGGGGGATACTTCCCCAAATCATAACAGTAAAACCTAATATAGGACCCCTACATTCTACCATAAAGGTACTTTGGACCCTTTGAGTATTTCATAGGCAGTTTTCGACGTCATCAGATGTTTAGGCATAAGCCTTACAGCTGTCTTGCTAATCCCAAGCAATTATGATTACACCGAATCTTACACTCTGCCGTGATGCAGGAGCAGCGATATTTGGAAGTTGTGGGTTATAGTCTTGCAGGATCTTGCAGGTATGACTGGGTCACTTTTGCCGAACTGGTCTGAGCTGAAAAAGCAGCAGAACCACATCGCGGCAGCAGACAACACACTAGAACTACTAGGCTTGCTATACAGGGTATCAAGTTATTAAGTATTGTAATGGATGCCATGCGGGATACAAAAAGGGATAGTGCACGGGATAGAGAACAGGATACTACAACGGATACAAAACGCTATTCTACAAGGGACACACAAGGCGATTCGATCAGGGATACTATCTGTACAAGGGATACCATAACTTAACAACGGATTACTGTAACGGACCCCCCAAAGGATGCTAAGGGATACTCAGGGTGATACCACGGAGGATACGTTAAGGGAAGCACAGGGTGATAGTAGAGGGGATGGAACAGCAGTGCGCCTTTCCGAGGGGATGCAAAAGAGATACACAAGGGGATACTATAAGGGATACATAAAGGGGATACTTTAGGGGAAACATAACACAAGGAACGGCCCGTTTGGTCTCCTCTTGCCCTCTGGTGCAGCCGCCCGACACCCTCGTAAGCCAGAAACCAACCCGGAACCTTAATGTTTCTGAATCCCTGCAGCCCCAATGAGCCCCCAACAAACCCAACCCCAGAGAAGCCCGCATACACCTCGGTAGACCCCGAATAAGCCCTGATGGGCCTTCATAGACTTGAGCCAAGAAAATCCAAAAGACCCTTGCAGAGACCCTACTTGGAGGTTCAGGGGTAGTTATAAGTAGGGTAACTGTAGTTATAACCCATATTATGGGACTTTTAACCCCACTTCTAACTTGACTCTAGACCTGACGCAACAAACCCCAAAAGACCCTCACAGAGACCCTAAAACTCTAAACCCTAAACCCATTTTGGCTCAAGCTTGCTGCTCACTTTGGAGACTCCCATGACAGTTCAGGTTTTCCAAAATCAGAGAAAAAAAGGAGTATACCTTATAGTTATAGTAGGATCCCGAGTATGATTTAAGGTATATCCCTTGAGGGTTTCTTAAATTTCCGGGGAGTTCTGACTCCCAGGCAGCTTCCAGTTCCAAGCCATGTCAAACCTTGAACTCAAGGAGGATACAAGCGCTTGACCGAGGGTTTTCTAGGGTGTATGTGGGGATTAGGGATGGTTTGAGGTTTGGGAACTAGGGAGTTTTTGTCTTTGTTTGGGCTTTTGGTTGGGCTTAGTTAATGTGATGCACAATCTCACAGGTTACAGGGCGTAGTGCTTGGTTACGGTGTTTAGGCTTCACAAAAGCCGTCGAGCGGTGAAACTACCGAAGGTTGAGAACATGGTAGCACTAGATTATCATCGGCATTATTGCTCGGGATCCCGTAGTAATATTTGCACTTCTCCGATCTATCTCAAAACCTCCTTTCTGCTTCTTCATATTATAAGGCCCCAATATGCCTGCCTCATCCATGGAGCTCTCACAGAGAGTTTGGTTCTAGGATTTGTAGGTTTAAGGGTTTGGGTTCCTTTAGAATTGACGGAAAGAGCAGGGATCCGATCTCGGTCTTAGGGCTGGGGCCTGGGCATTCATGGCAGTTGCTGTCCAAATTGTGCTGCTCAGTGGTAGGGCGACTACCGTACGAGCAGACGAGGATGAAACTGTGGCAGCATTGAAGCTTCGGGCAGAGACGACGCTTGGAGTGGGAAAAGGGCGGCTGATGGACTCATCTGGAAGTGTTTTGGATGAATCTTCAACGGTTAAGGCTGCCAACCTTAATGATGGTGCTTCACTGACCTTGCGCATAATCCCTGTTCAAGTCCGAGCCTCCGCACATGCTTTTGCTGCCATTCTGGGCGACGGCTCTGTCGTGACCTGGGGTGAGGCTTCTGCTGGCGGTGACAGCACTTCTGTGCACTCTCGCCTGGAGAAGGTGCAACAGATTCAGGGGTCGCAGTACGCTTTTGCTGCCATTCTGGGCGACGGCTCTGTCGTGACCTGGGGTGCGGCTACTTCTGGCGGTGACAGCAGGGACGTAAAATATGAACTGCAAAATGTGCGGCAGCTCCAATCCTCTTTGGGTGCTTTTGCTGCTGTTCGTCTTGATGGCTCTGTCGTGACCTGGGGTGAAACTTCCGATGGCGGGGACAGCAGTGCTGTGCAGGATCAGCTGCAAAATGTGCAGCAGATCCAAGCCTCTTTCAGCGCGTTTGCTGCAATTCTTGGCAATGGATTAGTTGTGAGCTGGGGTTCTAATCTTGCTGGTGGTTACAGTGGTGCTGCGCAGCCGCACCTAAAGGACGTGCGACAGATACAAGCCTCCTCCGGCGCTTTTGCTGCCATTCTTGGCGATGGATCCGTTGTCACCTGGGGTAGTTTTGATGATGGTGGTGACAGTAGCGCTGTACAGGAGCAGCTACAGAATGTACAGCAGATTCAGGCTTCTTTCAGTGCATTTGCTGCCATTCGTCGTGATGGCTCTGTTGTGACCTGGGGTGACGCCCCCTCTGGGGGCGACGCTAGTGCTGTGCAGGATCAGCTGAAGAATGTGCAACAAATCCAAGCCTCGCAGTGCGCCTTCGCCGCCATTCTTGGCAATGGATCTGTCGTAACCTGGGGTGATGCAGGGTACGGTGGTGACTGCAGTGTCGTGCGGCATCAGCTGAAGAATGTGCGACATATCCAAGCCTCTGGCAGCGCTTTCGCCGCCATTCTTCGCGATGGTTCTGTCGTGACCTGGGGTGAGGCTTTTTCTGGCGGTGACAGTGGAAGTGTCCAGGGTCAACTGAAGAATGTGCAGCAGGTGCACGCCTCCTGGTATGCCTTCGCCGCCATTCTTGACAACGGATCGCTCGTGACCTGGGGTGATGTTGAGCGTGGCGGTGACAGTCGTGCTGTGCGGGAGCAGTTTCAGAATATGGGTAGTTGTCCAACTTAGGGTCCTAAACTCCTAAACCCTGAACCCTAAGACCCTATACCCTAAACCTTTGTTTCACTCAGCAGACTCCGAACCATATGCCTCGCCTGGAGTGTCCGAGTGTGAGCGCCGAAACCCTTAACCCATAAACCCTAAACCCTAAACCCTTAAACCCTAAATAACTTGACTCTAGACCTGACGCAACAAACCCCAGAAGACCCTCACAGAGACCCTAAAGCTCTAAACCCTAAACTGGAGGTGGATGCTCATCTCCCAGCGTCGACCATTCCCTCCTCGTATTCCTTCTCCTTGATGGGCCTGAAGCTCCCTCGATGAGCCTCGGAAGCTTTCGGTTTCGGGTTTAATACATCTACAGTAAGCCCCATAAAGTTGGAAACCGGATTAAGGCCAAATAGTGCTGGGAGTCCCTATACATTACTCTTAAGGATTGAGGCTATGGGGTTTCCAACTTTTGGGCTTCTACTGTACTATTTTGGGGGTTCCTTACTACAGTTTAGTATAATGGGTCCCAAAACCTTATTCTAATTATAGGGCCAGGGTTTTCAGGGTTTAGGGTGAGTTTGGGATGCTTCGGAAGTAACTACAGACGGGCCTACTAGGCTGTTACGATTGTTAGGAGTCGATGAGGAGTCTACAGGGGGGTTTAGGGTTTAGGGGTCCATGAAGGGGTTATCAGGGTTCTATGCGGGGTTTAAGTGTAAGGTGTAGGGATAATAATTAGGGTTGCTACAATCTACCAATATTGGGTTTATAAAGGGGGTTACAGTAAACTCCATTAAGTTGGAAATAGGGTTAAGGCCAAACAGGGTTTCCAACTTTTTGGGCTTGTATTGCAAGGTGTAGGGATAATAACTCTTGCTACAATCTAAGCATATTGGGTTTATAAAGGGGGTTAGGGTTTCGAGTTTCTGATTTTCAACCCCTCAGGGTTGTAGGGTTATGGGTTTTGGGGTTGAGCGATAAGTGGTAGTTTCCTAAAATTGGGGGGGGGGGGGGGCACCTTGTATTGGGGGTCCTCATAAGAAGGATCCTAGTATTTGGGGTACCATATTAGGTTCCCCCTATTTTCGGAAACTCCCAAACCTAAACCCTAAACCCTTAATAGAACCCTTATAGATCCCTTAAAGGAGGCCCTTAAAGGGTTCGGTTTCGATGAGCACTACTAAACGGGGTTGCGGGACGGGTGGCTATTACTTGGAGGCTCATGGGTAGTTATAACTGGGGGTATAAGTCCCCTAATATGGGTTATAAGTATAGTTACCCTACTAGTGACCCTAGAACTACCCCTGAACCTCCAAGTAGGGTTGAAGGTGTGCAAGATTCAAGCGAAGCAGCTGCAGAGAATCCGTGGAAGCACTGAAAAGTCGTCAGCTTTCTAACAGACTGAACCTAGGCCCCAACCACCAAAAATGCCGAACTTCCAAACTCGGAACAGAAATCCAGAAGGCCCCAGTATCGCTCATGGGGTGGTTGTCAATATTAGGGTCCCGGTTGAAGTCTTTATTATAATACGGAACCTAATATTTAGGGCATCCACAAAGGTACCATGATTTTGACAACCACCCATATGGCATTGCTAAGTACCTGTGCAGGGACACTCACAGGCCGAAACAGGGACTGGAGTTCCAAAGGTACGGAGAAAATCCACATCGACCTCGCCGAGGGCAAAGTCTGGGGCTTCACAAACACCATCTCTATGGCGGTCCCTTGGGTAAATAGGGATGAGAGTCGAGGCATTAGGGATTATAGGGTTTAGGGTATGTATATATATATATATATATATATTTATTTATATTAGTATATATACATAAATAAATAAACAAATATATATATATATATATATATATATATATATATATATATAGGGCTCATGGTACATAGGGTTTGGGTATAGCGGGGTTCGGGCACCCGGTAGGGTTTAGGATTTAGGGTGTGTAGGGTATATGGGCTTAGGCTGTGCCTTGCTGATCGCCGGGAATGGGCGGATGAACAACATGCCCCAAATCTCTTAAGGGGTTATATGGGGGTTTCCGAAAATTGGGGGTACCTCATTCTGGGCTCCTTGTAACGAGGATTCTACTACTATATTAGGGTCTCCTATTTTCGGAAACTCCCATATAGGAGTAAGTTCGGGATCTGCATTATATAGGCCCTAAACCTGACTTCATGAAGCCGTGCCTGCGTCGAGCGAGTGCGCCAGTCGAAACCCTAAACCCTTAAAGCCCTCAACCCCTAATTCATACGGTTGATGATATACATCCAGCATTACCTTAAGGACCCTAGACTATGGGAGTTAAGGTACATTCCTTATTGTGTGTAATGCAGGGTTTATACTATTAACCGTAGTTTGGCCCTGACAGCAAAGGGAAGAGCTGCGATTAGGGGCCATGGCCTTGGGGAAGTCTTGGGGTTCGTGCTGGTTCATGTCTATAGTTACAGGCTATATATATATATATATATATATATATATATATATATATATAAGGTTGAGGGTATACGGTATACAGGGATTAGGGATGAGGATATAAGGCTTAGGGTTTAGGTTTAGGTTTAGGATATCTATACAAATACAAGCTCTGGTATCCTTGCAGTTTTCAGCGTTGGCGCAACATGGGGAAACGGCACGGAGGCACTTGTGTGAGATACGTGGTGTCCGGCACCCACAGCCCAAATCCAGAGCAGGTAATACAGGGGCCTAAATACTCTCGTTTCGCTGTGGCATACCTCAACTGAGTGAGGGAGCGAGCGAGTGAGTGGGTGTTGAATGACCTGCGCATCGGCATCGGCATATGCACACACACACACACACGAAGACACAGCTGCAGATGTTGTAGTTGTTCCTGTTCCTGGTTTGCCGTTCGACTCTTTGATGCTACCACAGAGGAATGCGTTGGCTGGGCTCGGAACCCTTCGTTCTAAAGAAACAAGCTCGTATAGACGTTACCGTCAGAAGTATGGAAGACACCCTAAGCGTAACCTACCGAGGTTGCCTTTGGCTTCGCCCTCACTTTTGCAGCCCTGCACGTGGGGCTACAGCCGCTCAGAGCAGCTGGTACATCTGATCTTCCTTGTTCCCTAAAACCGATCCTGTACGGAACTTTCTTACTTTCTTGGTTGCTTTTTTCTTGAAGCAACAACAATACCCCAGGGAATCCTTCACGGCCGTGAGCCGCTTCAGCACTATTAAGGGATTGTCCATTCCGGCCTTGAACCGTACGCCTTAAGCTCCAAAACTGTTGACTGTGCTGCATCCTACACCCTGAAGCTCCAAAGCCAGAAACTTGCTTGTTGGCGGTTTAAGGATCGCTGACATAGGCGCCGAAGCAGTTGCCGATACTATTCCTGAGCGTTCCTAAGTGCACTTTTATGGGAATATGTCCCAAAGCCTTATGCTGATTGTCCAGGTCCCAACCCTTGTAGGACCCTTAAAGCGAGCCCTTTGAGGAATCCTGATCCTGAGCCCTTTACCCCTAAAAAATCCAGAGCTGCTAACACAACACTGGCCTGACTCGAGCAATCCCTTTGTAGTCCGACGGAACCTGTGAGACCTCGTCTGGCTGGTCCTAGTTGTGAGAGCGTAAACACCTAAACCCTCTTCAAACCCTAAACACCTAAATCCTAAACCCTAAACCATCCTAAACCCTCACCCTCCTACCCTAAGCACCCAAGCCATCCTATATCCTAAACCCTAAACCAAAAATTCCTACTGCTCTGAAGGCCGAAGACGAAGCCTCGCACAGCGTCTGCCCCGACTATGCCAGCGACCACAAGCAGCTGCTTGGATTTCTTGTTTAGTATAGGGGCCTAAATTTAGACAGTTACCATGTTCAGGCGATTGCCATGTCTTGATGCAAAAAGGGGGTTTAGGGTTAGTATAGGGGCCTAAATTATTTCCTATACTATTTTGGGGGGTTCCGTATTGTAAGTATGGTATAATGGCCCCAAAACCGTTTTCTAATTATGTTGGCTTTTTCTTTGAGGGCTTGAAGGTCCTTGAATCGAAGGGGAGCTATAGGAGCTTCCGACAATTCGGGGTACGATTTTTGGGGTCCTTATAACAAGGATCCTACTATCTAGGATGCATTCACTAGTTTTCAGGGTTCCATATAGGGTTTATATCAGGGGGTTCTGCAAGGGTTTAGGGCTTAAGGCTTTCAGGTTCTAGCATTTACGGCAGTGGTTGAGGGTTTTGTGGTGTTGGCGGATAAGAAGTTTCAGAATCCACTAGGAGTTTCGAGGGCGCCGGGTTAGTGTTCGGAGATGTCGCAGAGGCGCTGAGAAGATTAGCTTTTTCGTGCGAAAGCCTTAGTGCTAAGCTTACGTCATATCCTCTGTTCCTTGCCAAGTAGGAGGTAAAAATTTACGTCATATGAGAGTAAAACGAACTGAACCCTATAAAGATCCCCTAGGTCTACTAAAAGCTTGGCCTGCTCAGCTTTGAAGGATTTGTGCGTTCCGGGCTCGAGGGGTTTCGAGGGTTCAGGGTCCAGGGTTTACATCTGGAACCAATGTTATTCCTTCTAATCACGAATGTAGTAGTTTCACTATACTGCAACTTTAGAGAACGAACCCCTGTCGTATCTGCTTGATGGAACTCTTAAAGGGAACCCTATGCTGTTGATGAAGCCCTCATATTCGGCACCTAGACTATCCGTGTGGGCTGTAAAGCCTGACTGCAAGCGAGAACTCGCGAGACCTGCAGTCATTAGAAACAAGTAGTAGTCGTCGTTGTCGCCGTCGCAGTCGTGGTCACTAGTAGTAGTGGTTGTAGTAGTCGTCGTATCAGCAAGCAGGAAGTCACGGGTGTCAGCCTTTGCTTCAAGTCGCGGTGAATTCTTGGACTGTGGAAGGCAGCATAAACTCGCCACCATATCTTCAGTTACATTAAATTATGCCTTGGGGCTGTATTCGCAGAGCAGTCGGCGCCAACTGTTGCAAAGAGGAGGTTTTGAGGACGTGGCGCACGTGCATTCTAGGATGGTGCTGCTGTTCTGTACCGTGGACGTCAAGTCCTAAATCCTGAACACAACAATGACTGCGCAAACGGGGTGTGCAGAAGCCGGCGACCCGATTCTGAACAGAGTTGAGTCTGAATGAGATCACAATACCCGCAATCAGAAAAAGTTGTTAATCTCCTTATTGTCCACAAGTAAAAAGAAAGCTTATCAGCTGCCTGAGGTCTCTACCCAGCATGGACGGTGCAGCAGAGGTCGCTTGTAGCATCGAGCAGGGGCCGATTGTTGTCATGGTTTACTTCAGGATTGTCCCCCTTTAGAGATCTATAAGGGATCTATAAGGGTTCGATTAAGGGATCCATAAGGGCTTCCTTTAGGGATCTATAAGGTTCCTATTAAGCCGTCTAACCCACAAGAGTCAAGGCGGGTCGAGTGGGGCTTGCGACGCTAGGCAGATAGGAACCTGCAAAATTAGGCACCCCAGATCTGTTTTAGGGTTTAGGGTTGATGGGCAGGTTTCAAGACGTAGGTCCATGCAGTCAGGTTGCGATAAGGTAGGGTGCCACCTCACAGTATTTAGTCCAAGGACCAACGCAATATTATGGATGAAAGATCACCAGAGACATCTTGGCACTACCCAAAATCACGGAAGACAAAGCACAAGCATATACGTATATACATATATGTGGCTTGCTGTTTTAGTCTTTTGTGAGCGGCTGCTGGACCCTCTGGATGCAACAGCAGAGACAGAATGAGAGAGAGGGAGAGAGAGTATGTAGGTATATATATATATACATACGTAATTGTATACTCATACATATATATATATATACATATATATATATATACATGCATTTGTAGAAAAGCAAAGGACCCAACAGATGGTCACAGTCTGCGATGTTGTGCTAAGAAATTGCCCCTTGCTGGCTGCGGCTGGTGGAGAGATGAGCTGCCTGGCAGAAGAGTTTGGAGTTTAGGGTTAAGGCAGGTTACTAATTCTTTGCATTGTGAAAGTCAATTTTCAGGCGATTGCACAAGTCCTGATGGAAAAAAGGGATTTAGGGTTTAGGGGTTTAGTGTTGGAGGGCTTAGAGGTTAGGGTTAAGGGTTTAGGGTTCCTTGGAAGGGTTTCTTTATGGGATACCGCGAGGGGTACTGTAATGGTTCTACTATACTGGCCAGAGCCAGTCGAGCAGGGTGGGTACGATAAGCTGGGTACAAATCTGAGCAATACTCCTACGGTTGATGATATAAATCCTGCATTACCTTAAGGACCCTAGAGTATGGGAATTATGGCAAATTCCTTGTTATGGTGATGCAGGATTTGTGTCATCAACCGTACCAATCATTTCAGGTCCCTATATTGGAGGGTTGAAGGCTTCTCAGAGCTTTGATTGGGGGTCTGGGTAAGGGTTAACCGGAAAAAGACCGCATGCCTCAGTTTGCCTCTCATGGTGGTGGTCTAGGCTAGAATAGGCTATCCGTCATGTGATTCTCATTTGGAAGCTCAGTTGCATATACCGTGGGTTGCTGTTCGGCTGTTCCGACAACCCACTGTTTCGCTTCAAGTCAGCCCAACTGGGCTTCCAGAGCGTGTCAAACCGACGAATGAGACATGGGCATATTTCTGTATTCCCGGTATTCCCGGTTGATCTTCGTGAGACATCTTTCATTTCGTTTTGGTCACAATGGCTCCCCAAGTCATGATCCATGGATAACACCCCTAGAAACCCTAAACCACCAAGTCCTAGCATTGTAGAAGGCCTTCGAAGGCCCACGACCTTGGAGCGCACGACTGTGGCTTGAGACTTGCTGTAGTGTTTAGGGTTCAGGGTTCGTGCTTCCAAGGCTACGGCTGCTTGTCATCTTTGGGGAGGGTGCAGATGCGGGACTGAGAGAAAAAGCGAGACACAGAGAGAGAGAGAGAGACAGGGTTTCAGTTTAGGTTTAGGGGTTTAGGGTTTAGGGGAACGTAAAGAGTAGAAGTAGGATATCAAAGCCAGGGTGCGGAGCACTTTGAGTCTTATTGTCCAAGGCCGCAGTCGCAGGAACCATCTCGAAAGGTTTTTGAATCACAGCTCTCAGAATTCTCACGGAGTCTCTTTACAGTCTATACATTCAGGGTTTTAGGAGCTCTACTCTGGGTATCCCTGGGTTATACCGGAAGCCTCGTCAAAGGCCCTCATGCCTCGAGCTCCTGCGGGACGACGTTGCGGCGTTCCGGCCAGCCGAACGATGCGTCGGCGTCGAATGTGTTCCTCGGGAGCCAAGGGGCTTTGTGCTTGAAGCTTGAGGCTTGGAAGCTTAGGTGTTTTAGGCGGTAGGTTTCAATGGAGTGTCTTCGGCTTGCGACCTCGAAATGGCGTGATGAATTCGCTTTAGCCGCATGTACCTGGTAACAGTGCAGGCCGTAGGAGACGAGTCTGGTTGAACCCCTACCCCTCAACCCCAAACACTACCAGTTGGTTGAGTCTTCGGTTCGTGAATGTCCAGGGTCTCTTACCAGGGCTTCCTGAACGTGCCACGGAGTTCAAGCGCTACTGGTAGTCGGGGATATTGGAGTTTCGCAGGCTTGCTACACACACAGTATATATACATGTGCATGTATGTATATATATATATATATGTGTATGTATATACATACATGTATATACATATCTACATATATATATATATATATGTGTGTGTGTGTATGTGTGTGTGCATAGGGTTCCATATAACAAAAGACTGGTACAATCTAACATGGCATACTGAAACCTCTTATGATTTAGCATATCATGTTAGCACATAGTGTAGCATAATACAACATAATGTAATACTATGTAAGCTTGTATTATAAAGAAGGTTATAAGATCAGATAGGATCATAAAATACAGTTTTCACATAACACATTAGTACGCAATACTCTATAATTTACCATTAGTTTCTTATAGTACAAACCAAATATTGATATAGACTATACAATATAAAGCGAATTTAAACTTTATAAACATGTATACCTATGTAAATGCATGTCGTATGTAGGTAGGGCAAGGTAAGGTAAGGTAATGCAAGTATGGATGTATGTATATATATATATATATATATATATGTATACTTTTTTTACACACACTACACACACACACACACACACACGAATTTCCGGATGCGGGGCTTCTGGTTCACGCTAGAAGCTTCAGAGTTTTCAGGACTGGAGGCAACCATGCGGGTTTAGGGTTGATAGGTTCGGGTTTAGGTGTTTCAGGTTTGAGAGTTTCGGAATTCATGTTTCAGGGGTTAGGTGGTTTAGGGTGTACAGGTCTGTGGTCGATGGCATGGCTAAGCATGTTGTCATCTTGCGGGCTGCAGGGGTTAGGGTTTTAAAACTACGACTGCTCTTAAAGGATCTTCCAAGTTAAAGGCTCCCTTTCCAATCATATTGTCCCCGGTGCACTTGGTCATTGGGCGGGTTTCTGTTTGGCAAGCTAGTTTGGGATTGCAAAGTTGGAAAATGGCAAAGTTGCAAGATGTGTTGTTCATGTGTTTTGGGTGCTGGGAATTCGGATGCGCATCTTCCAACTTTCGGAATGAAGCAGAGCCGGGTAAAGCAGAGCCGACTAGTAATTCATGCAATTAGTACTCGCGCATGTCTGAGTAATGTGTGTCTCTCTCTCTCTCTCTCTCTCTCTCTCTCTCTCTGTATATATATATATATGTATGTAAATATATATATATATATATATATATATATATCTTTGTATGTATATGTATTTATGTATGTGCGCGTACAACGAAAATGTCCCACACTGAACTTTAGGACTTACGATGACTTTCCATATGGCGATGCTGACACCTTGTTGTGGATGGGTGCTGGCCAGCTTCATTTGCTCCTTGGTCTTTTAACCTTTAGGCTTTCGAGGTTCATAAAAGTCCTAACGTAATTCGAAGGGTTAACCTTGTTTGGGCTAAGGTACTCAGCCCCTAAGCTCTAGAGCTTTGAGGATGTAGAGGTTTGGGCTTTTTGGGTCGTTGCAGGTTTCAGGGTTTAGGGATGTCGGGATTCAGGGTTTTAGGGATTTCAGGATTCGGGACTCCAGGGTTTTAGGGATTGGGGACTTGAGGTTTCGGGTGCTGGGAGGACTAGAGGGTTTAGGGGTTTAGGGTTTAGGGGTTCAGAGTTTAGGGGTTTAAGGTTGTGGGTCGTAGACTGGCTAGACTTGAGTCCAGTGGCAAAAAAGGGGTTTTGGGTTTAGTTTAGGGACACATCGGGTCAACTGCCTTGGTAACTTGTAGAGATGGGACACTGCCCCCGCCCAGCAACAGTTGAGTATTGCTTATACTTTAATGTATGAGGCCCTAGTCCTACCGTACTTTTATTACATATTTAGAATATAGATATATCAGGCCCTTATGAGAACTTGCATTTTGCTGTAATTACTTCACACACACATATATATGTATATACCTGTGTATGTGTGTAGATTTTAGACTGCGACTGTATGGCTGCAGTTGCCCAATGTAGAGCCCTAAACCCTAAACCGACTCTTTGGCTGCTTGCCGTCCTCTTTGGAGCCCTAGGTTTTGGGTTTGCTTGAGGTTCATGGGCAGTTCTAAGGGTTCCTGTAAGGGTCCCTTTAAGGGATCTATAGGGATACTATAAGGTTCATGGGTAGTTATAAGTGGGGTTCCTTTAAGGGCTCTATAGGGATTAGGCTTTAGGGTGTATAGGGTCTAGTAGGATTATAGGGTTTAGGCGTAGTTATAAGTGGGGTTATAAGGCTTCCTTTAAGGGTCCCTTTAAATGGTCCTATGGGAATTTAGGATTTAGGGACTAGGGTTTAGGGTAGTTATAAGTGGGGTTATGAGTCCATTAACATGGGTTATAATTATGGTTACCCCACTTATAACCCACTTATAACTACCCACGAAACTCCATGTAGGGCTTATAGTACGGGGTGCGAAATGATTGCCAATACTATTTTGGGGATGGTCCTTATCGTACTTTTAGCATAATATACCCGAAACTGTGTGGGACTTCTTAAGGCCCTGTAGTACCTGAGGCATGTTCGCACACCCACTGCTTCAATGCTTACCAGACAGGGTCTTGAGGGTTTCAGGGAGCGGAATTTTGGGTTGTAGGATTGGGTTGTCCTTCCGCACGCTGGAGGTCCGACCACAATGACGGTGGACATGATGGAGGACACGACGGAGGATTCGACTTCGACGGAGGTGACGCTTTTAAACTTAACACCAGCACACACCGACGATGTGCCTTCGGAGTTAATCTGCAGGGCCACTGCCCTGCCGGAATCGCCAGAATCGCCTGTAATAGTAGCGGGGGGAAAGGGGAAATTCACCCACAAAGGTAGGCCTTCATTAACTCCTATTGCCTGGGTCGGGTACTGATTTTTTCGACTCCTGGCCCTCGACTCAGGCTTGCACCGTTTTGCACCGCTCTTATGCTTGGATAGGTATAGGTAAGGATGGCATCTTAGGTACACCTTCAAGTCTGTGATTTCTCGAGACCTCTGTTCCCGGAAAAAGCCTAGGACAAAACCAGAGAAGAAGTCAAAGCCGAATGAACAGAACCTCTCACTCAGCTTTCCACTGCCCCCAAACCCCTCCAAGATTTTGATCGCAGACTAGGCTAGGCGTGAGCCATTCGGCCACCAAAACTCAAAGCTTGAGGCAGGGACAAAGGATCCCAACAGTCAAGCACCTCCTTTTGGCCTATTTTTGCATTTGAAAGGTTTACCTTGTGTCTTTGCATTTCTTCCGAGGATACGGAACCTTGGGGCCCAGCAATTGAGTCGGCAGGAGAGAGGGAGGGAAAGGCGCTCTCAATCGTCTGTTCACGTAGCCATAAACTCAAACGAACCCTTAAACCGATGCACCGGATGACCCTGAAATCCACGATGAAGCCAAAACTATGCCCTCACCCTTCTTGTCAGGTGGAGACGATGGGGGTGATCCGGGCGGCTGTGGTGGTTGCGGCGGGTGCGGAGGATGCGGGGGCTGAGACGTCTCAGTTTCACTTGTTCTGTGGCAGAGACTACTAACTACTAGACATCCAAATGCAATTGTATATGTATATATATATATATATAACATACATGTTTATGTCTAATAAAACAGATGTTTATATATATATATATATATATATATATATTCACCTAACCATGCAGCATATGCGAATGTAGTTTTGCCCTGTGCATCCACCCAGATACATCGGCCTGGAACCTTGAGCGCATGTACGGATGTAGATAGATAGATACATAGATAGATGAACAGTTCCACGTTTGTGATTTCTTTCATATCACATAGATAGATAGAGAGACGTGTAGATAGATACATAGGTAGAAAGATGGACAGAGAGATGTGCATTTCCGCTTGGGTGCTTTTCCATGAATACATACTGCCGTGTATGTACCTATGCACGAATGCATGTTTGTATGTGTGCATGCATGTGCATTATAAGCATGTTTGCAATGCATGTATGTAAGTATGTATGTATGCATGCAGATGCATGCACGTATGTGTGCATGTTTGTACATATGTAGGTAGTTTTGCAGGTAGGCTGGTAGGTAGGCAGGTAGGTACGTGATATGTGTGCGGAATCACATGCTTTGACGGTGCAAGAACCGTATGGATCCCTTGTGCCAGTTTCTGTTAGAAGAGACACTGGCTCGCAGCTCTACAGCCCCAAGCCCTCCATACAGACCGTCCCCAAGAAAGGCTCCCAGCTGCGGTTTCGGTGTAGGTTGAGGGCTCGGGCTTGGGGGTGGTGAAGGTACGGGCACCTTGTCAGGGAGTGGCACTTATGTGAAGGACCCCATAAATTAGTGTTCTTGAATTTTCGAAAGGTAGTAGTCCCACAACTGTGATCTCCGAAAGCTACATAAATCTTGAAGTGTCAATAATAGGGGAAAGGATTGGGCATTTTCTGCTGGCGTCTCCTGCAGGTGTGGCATAATAAATCAGAACTCTTCATTCCTTCACCGGAGTGAAAGTGCTAGGGGGCCCTAGGAATCCTGATGGAAAAATTTGGACCCTGAGCCCCTGACTCCTTGACCCGAAACCCCCTAAAACCACATCCCTCAATGCGGGCCTCGTCCTTGCTAGCTAGGAGGGAAAAAACGCCCCTAAACCCCTAAACCCTAAACCCTAAATACCTTATCACCCTCAGGCCCCGAAGGGGTAAACCCTATGATAAGACGCCACGCCCGTTCAGGCAGCTCTTTTGCACGCAGAGGCCCCAAAGAGCAGATAGAGAAGCAATTCCCTAGCACATAAAGACTAGTAACCCCCATGAGCGCTAAACCCTATAATAGACCCCAAGCCCTAAACCCCTATAACCCTAGAAACCCTAAACCTTAAACCCTAAATACCCTCTCTAGACCCCCCAAAAATCTACCCATCCCTTTGGGAGCAGCTTGGGAGCCCGACCGCAAGCCGTCGAATGAGCAAGAACGGACCTTTGAAAACAGAGCGAAGGACCCTTCCTTTGGGGTTTAGGGTTTGGGCTTTAGGGTTTGACAAATTAGGGTCTTTGCCTGTTGAACAGGGGTTGTTGGTTTAAAGTGCTTGGGGTTTAAAATTCTGGAGGTGCGCTTTGCACACTTTCGATTGCTTTTTCGCAAGCAAGGGTCCTGATTAAAGGGCAACAGTAGTTCTGCTCAGGGTGTCTATGCTTGGGCCCCTCATTTTCTGACACTCCCAGCTTGGATTTGATTCTGTGGTTTTGGGTGTGGATGGGGCTTAGAAGTTTAGATTTAGTGTTTCCGGTTTGGCATTTGTGTTGATGTTTGCATGCTCGTGGCTTAGTGGCTTCGTGTCGACAGTTGGACAGGAAGTTCCTCAAATTCCTGACAATGTCGCGTGATCCTTATAAGCTCAGTAGCTGGGTAGGTAACCTTTAACCTTTGAGCGGTTTATTTAATCCCACCAAACTTGAAAAGGTTAAGCTTTATTGGGCGAAGGTACTCAGCCCCAAAGTAAGGGAGTTCGAGTCAAGGGGCCATCGCAGAGCTCGTGGTGGATGCCCCAGAGCTTTACCTAACAAGTCGAGGAGAAGTTTAGGTCAGTCCCTTCGAGAGAGACTGTGGTTTAGTTGTGTTGCGTTTGCCAATACCACCTGGATTGCAGTGCTTTTTCTTGCTTCCCGCTTCTGAATAAGGGATAAAAAGCAGGGTTGTCCCAATGAGATTCATGTTCGGGTCTAGGTAGGACGGAATGATCGGTTCAGAACGGGTCACAGCACAAACTATAGCAGACATAAGGTGGAGCTGAAGTGCTTCATCAAGTCCGCGCTTTCCCTAAGCCTTAAGACAAGTGAGGCGGAATCATGGTAGTAGAACCTGCCTGGTGTCCCTTCAGCTTGAGGGCTTGAGGAGTAGAACAAACCAACAGTTAGTGCTGGGATGCCCTATACATTATTACTCTTAAGGATTGAGGCTATTGGGTTTCCAACTTTTGGGCTTCTACTGTAGTCTTCCCTTCACGGCACGAAGTTGGGCGTTGAGCCTTGCACTTATGGAGACTCTTGGAGGGCGAGCTGGCAGATGAGATTCGGTCTTGGGCTTTAGGGGTTAGGGATTTAAGGCCAGTTTAGGGCTTTAGGGTTTAACGCTGTTGTGGGGTGTGCTGCTGGCGCTTGTCTGCATGTGCCGAAGTTGCAGATGCACACAACAACGCAAGCGCAAGCGGCTCACTACCATGTAAACAACAAACCTTTAAACAAAACATGTTCCTGGGCGCCAACCCTTGTATACATATCTACATATGGATATGTGTGCATACATATACACATCTGAAAAACATGGGTACGCGTGCGGGCATGAGTTTGTGAAGCGAACAGTGAGAAGCTGGACACTCGACGTCGAAGAGTCCAAGGCTCAAGGCGCGTGGGGCCGCGCTCTGAAGCTGCAAGCCCCGAAGCCAGGGTCAATGGCCTCAGCCCCAGAAGCTAGGGTCCTAGCATATCTTAGCATCCCGAAACCGTAAGCCCTAAACCCCAAACCCTGAGCCCTAAACCCTATAAACCCCCAAGCCATAAACCCTTAAACCCTATAAATCCCTAAATCCCTATAAAACCCGAAGCCTAAAACCCTAAATAACCCCTAAACCCTAAATAACCCCTAAACCCTATAAACCCCCGAAGCCATAAACCCTAAACCCTATAAACCCCTAAAGAGCCATAAGCCAGCCCAGAACCAGCCCAGAAATACCTTGGCCGCGGGGACCGCGCCATGTCACAACTGCCTTTGCCATCTCATCCGGCACTACGGCTGGCCAACAGGACCAATCATTAGAATGAGGTTTAAGGGGGGGATATTACCCTAAGGGTCTATGTCCCTAGTAGTACATACATTGGCCTTAAAGTGCTCCCTGTAAGGGTGCATTGGGACCAGAGCATATACTATTTGGGTACATGGACCCCTAGGGTTATACAATACCTATGATAAGGAATATGGCTCCTTACGTTGCAGGGTGTAGTGCAAAGCCTTGGGGTTTCGAGGTTTAGGGTTGTGGTTGACACACCAAGACCCATGAAATACGTCAGGTTTCCACAATGCTTGCTGGTTCAGAACCTTGGCCAGTGGCCTGTCGTGCGGGGTGTTGCAGTGTTGCAGTTCAGGCGAAGAGGGAACCGACAAAAAAAAATCAAATCTTCATGGTAACACCCCTTGGCGAAGTACCCCTGGTTGAGAAACACCCAGTAGCTACTTGACAAAGCCGTTATAGAACTCCAGGTCATGATTCCCTTCAAAGAGCTCCTCATATTTAAATTGGAGCCTGCAGGCGTCTAAGGGCTCAGTTTGCGGCCGTTTGATTCTTAAGCTGATGGAGATCATGCCCTAGGGCGCGGCCAACCCAATAGGATGCCCCTCCCTTAAGCAGCCATAGCCATTGCAGGAATGACGATGACTTGTTCGAGCACCTGGAGGTAGGCAGCGACAGCAGCTGTAGCGGTGGTAGTTGCAGTAATGGGAATGACGGCGAGCAGTCGTACTAGTAGTGGTAGTATTTGTCGTGGTGGTGGTGGTGGTGGTGGTGGTGGTGGTGGTGGTGTTGGTGTTGGCGGTGGCGGTGGCAGTGGCAGTGGTAGTGGTAGAAGTGGTAGTAGTATTAGTAGCAGCCGCTGCAGTAGTAGTAGTAGTAGTAGTAGTAGTAGTAGTAGTCGTAGCATTAGCAGCAGTGGCAGTAACTGTAGCAGTGCTTTTGGTTCTGTTGTTGTCGATGTTGTTGCTACTGCTGCTGCTGTTGTGTTGCTGCGCCTGTCGCTTCGCAGCTCGCAGCAACAATCGCCACTGTCAAAAACCATCTGCGGTAGCGGCAGAAGGAGCAGTATCAGGAGCCATCATCTTGGCAACCCGCACATGCCCGGTCTGTCTAATGGCCATTTATGGATTGCAGCTGTCGTAACCATAAGAGCAACCTGATTCACAAGTTGCCCTAATTTTTACAATCTGATGCATCTTGTCTCGGACCGCCCTAATAAACCGAGCATTCAGCAAAGCCTACGGCTCCCATTGAAATGCTCCTGAGGCTTCATTGGCACACCGCCTTCGCCGGTAAGATCTTTTCTGCAAACACGACTTAATCCGCGCACTTCTTTCTTGATTGTACAGTACTGAGCAGCGCTGCCACTATCGTTACTACTGATGGACAAAATCCTGCATTACCCATTATAATAAGGAATATACCATAGTTCCCATAGTTTAGGGTCCTTAGGGTAATGCAGGACTCTGTCCATCAACAGTAGCAATCTTTTCCGGACGGAAGGACTGGCTGTCCAGACTGCAGAAGCTCATCAACAGCCACCCCGCCTGGAAGTTCATGGCTGGCTGTCTAACCATTGATATCGGGGGAGTTAAGGAGCTAGGGATGATGATAATCCCCATTAAATAAGGAGCTACAGAGCCAAGGGAACTCTCAAAACCACTGCTCAGCTGTTCTTAGGTGGGGTAGGCTTGACACCAAAGTTTGGTGAACGGCCAAGGGCGCTTTCAAGGAATATTGGTCGACAGTTGGGAAGTCAAGGATACTGGTATATGAGACCTACAAGCTTCATGTCCCTAAGTCCCTAAACCCTAAGCCCTCACCACCGCTGTCGCCGCCCAGACCTGCCAACCGGCCTTCCGAGGGTTTGTAGATTCAACGGGTTACCCCTGAAGCCTTGCAAATCCTCCACAAAATTCCGCCGATGTGCTAACGTCGTATGGGAGACATGACTTCGCCAGGTCCGTCCCAGTTCTGAGTGCTGAACCCCCCCCATAAACAAGCATGCAGGTTTGGGGTTTAGGGTACTGTACGCTTAACTACCCCAGAAAGGGTAATCCAATACCCTGAAACCCAACCCAAAGGGTCCTAGGTACTGATATGGGGACTACTTCCCCAAGTCATAATGGTAATTCCTAATATAGAAACCCTACATTCTACTATATTGGTACTTTGGACCCTTTGGGCAAAGCTCTAGAAGTAGAGTACATAACCTTTAATTTTTTGGGTAGTACAGTCCCTGTAAAATCCCTATATATGTAGAGTCCCTATATAACCCCTATATAACCAAAAAGGTTAACATTCAATCGCCAGGCAACCTCTTCCCGGGCGGCGCAGGGATCCCGCTGGATCTTCCGAGCGGGCCAAAAACCCGAGTCGTGGGAGACCCAGAGAGGGCTTCCGGGTTTACTTAAAGGGTCATGGGACTTAGTAACTAGGGTTATAATTAAGGCAACTATACTTATAATTACTTCTAACCCCAATTAACGTACTTATAATCTTACTAAGTCCCATGATCCTCCAAGTAGGGTTCCCAGAGACTCCAATATCAATCATCATATAAGGGTCCTACCAAAACTTAAGGTAGATGTTCCTTAACAGAGGGAAACCTACTGTGATTTAAGGTCTATTCCTTAAGTAAGGGAAATCGGAGTCTCCGGGTTGCTACATCTACGAGTGACTATGATTAGGGGTTGCTGTAAGGGTTTAGGGTTTAGGGGGCTCGGTCCGTGCTTAAAGTGGGTTTAGAAGTTTAGGGTTTTGGGGTGCACCTGTCATGAACAGGTGCGGCACATGCAGGCGGATTTTGTTCAAGCCTGTGCAAAAACTTTTTTTTTTTTTAGTCTAGCTGCTGTAATTGCGGCTGTTGCATAGGCGAGGATCATTTTTGCCTGTAGAGAACTCAGTGATCCTGAGCTGCTCATGTCCAACTGTGATGCCGACCTACACCCGTAAGCAATTTACAGCCCTCCAAAAAGGGGCGTTGAAGACACAGCCGAGGATCCTGAATACAGAATAGAATGAATAGAATATGGCATAGCAGAATATAATGCAGTAGGTTATAATATGATAGAACATAACAGAATAAATGGAGCAGAAGAGAGTATATGATAGTTTGGTCTAGTAGAGCAAAACACCATGCACTATGGTTAATGACTAACAAAAACATGGAATAGAGCTGTACAAAAGTTTTCCTGTATATACTTATTTTGTGTATATGTCCTGTCAGGCCAGGGGGGACCAGGGTTGCAAGACGAAGCACTGGGCGGCCATCAAGAAACGATGTAAAGACCTTCGATCCCAAAACTGTCCCGGAACTCCGTAAACTCTAGGTTTCTGAGCCTCATTTTTCAGATCTGTGCTTCTGCGTTCTTTTTGGACTCCTCGTCCGTACAAGGCAGAGAAGGAGCTGAATCAGTCTGCAGAGGTGGAGGAAGCCTTGCAACTTGGCTTTGGGCCGAAGGCCGCGGGTGTACTGTAGAGGACTGGGTAATTAGAACAGCTTCTCTCTGAGGGTTCCTTCAAAGCCTACGGTTGCTACTTAAGGGAGCTAGGATTGTTCGGGCCTTCATAGTTTCAATAGGGTTTCGGAGTATATTATGCAAAAGCATGCAGGGGACTATATGTAAAGGTGTAGTCTTTACTAGTGCTTGAGATCTCTACATTAGGTCACAGGCCTTCGGCGTGCACGGCAGTGCACGGTTCAGTTTGTGACCAAGCCTTAAATCCCCAAAACCCTAAGCCCCGAAACCCTGAACCCTAAACCCCTAAACCCTACAGCCCCAAACCGGTGAACCCTAAACCGCGAACTCTAAAGGAGCATGAAAGCAAAACGCATACCCGAACCCTAAAACCTAAGGCCTTCAAAGGCCTTTGGTCCCATGGTGTCCTCGGTCGTGTCCTTGACTATCAAATGGGGGTTTGCGAAAATAGAGCTACCTTATAATACTGGGGTCCTTCTAATAAGTATCCTACTATTTAGGGTACTATGCTAGGATCCCCTATTTTGGGAAAGCCCCAAGTGTTTACTAGAAAAATGCACTAAAGGCTGCTCCTGCCTTTAGTGCTCTTAGGAGTTACTGCTACATCCTTTCATGGTAGAGCGCGGAAGCGATTACTAGGATGCCCAGTAGTACCCTTATTCCCTTTTTGTAGTCCTAGGTTCCTTATAGAGTTACCCAATACCAAAAAGAGAGGCCTTTTTATTCTTAGGTTACTGGGTATCCTAGATTATCAACAACAGAGTCATTTTCATCGTGGTTCTATATCAGGGCTCTTAAGCCTTAAGTCACCCTTCGCCGTTCCTGTGGTTGGGCCAAGGCCCCCAACCCTGGAACTCAGCCTCTCTCCTGTCAAAGTACGGAAGCTAGGCCCTAAACCCTAAATCCCATGGTAGTAACGGTGGCAAGCAGATATCATGAAGCCGTGCCTGCGTTGAGCGAGTGTGCGAGTCGAAACCCCATGCACCAACGTCCAAAGACAGTTGAACAGAGGCAGAGACGGGATGAGCAGGTGAAGGAACACCTGGAGGCAACACAGCGAGTCACGGTCCCTACACTTCCTACGTAAGGCAGAGTTTGCTATAAGGTTGCTATAGGGTTTCCCAGAAGTGTTTTCTATAAGGGTTTCTGTAAGGTTTCTACAGGGGCTAGAAGAGTTTCTATCATGAGGGTTGCAGATAGTTAGGGCCTTGGAGCTGCTGTATCAGTATCCGTTAAAGAGTCTAGGGGTTGTCTGGACCCCAAAAGTACGTAAATACTACAGTATTTCATGGATTCTTTTGGGAGGTTTACGTAAGCTGTAGGATCTAGTCAAGGCCTAAAGCCGTCGGCTCCCTCCCCTCAGCTCGACTCATCCCGCAAGGGCCAGAAGCCTTGCTTCCGAAGGGTTCTTGGGCAGGAGGGCTTTAAGTAAGTGCTTTTCCTGTGGATCCAGATGATTCCATGCTTGATCATGCCCCCAATAAGAAAGGGGCACAGCACCTTGAAAGTTTCCACGCTGTCAGGGTTCTTTGAGCGAATTTCCAAGTTGTAGTGTCGCAGCTTCAAGTTCGTTTTTGAAAGTTGGGTTAGATTGCATAATCTTATCCATCGAAGTCACTGGCCTTGCAAGGGCGGCCCCGCAACAGAAGACCCAACCCTTTCGGTTGCGTACCGGTTTTGTTTACGGATGCGACCTACCTCTTTAGGGTTCCTTATTATGATTTGCTTATCTAAGTCCTTCGAAAGGTAGGTTGTTCCGTTATTCCGGGTTAAGGTAGGGCTTGAGATTGAGATCTGTGGCTGGGAAGACCCTGATGTATTAAGAAACCCTGGCCCTATAATCCCAAAATAGTAGGATTCATTTAAGGAACCCCAATAAAGACCCAGGGTTTCTTAATCAGGTTGCCACATTAGACGATTGGGTTAATTATCCTGCTTATTACCCTACTTATAACTACCCATGAACCTCCAAGTAAACCCTCATCTTTCCTGAAATCATATTGGGGATCCCTAAAAAGGTAGGTTAATTGGGGCCCAGGTGAACCCTAGACTTTCCTCATAAAATAGTCCTTAAAAAGGCAGCTTATTCCGGGTTAAGGCAGGGCTTGAGACTGATGTCTGTGGCTGGAAGACCCCTGACCCTAAACTTTCCTGATGTGAAGTCAAGCGACTCGGGAAGGACTGGCTGTCGCGCGTGCAGATCTTCTTCCTTGACAAGGACAAGAGAGCTGGCGCCATTTCAGAGGTGGGGGCCCTAGCCCAAGGTTCACTCTAAGGGCTTACATGGACCCTGGACGATATACCGTTTGCGGGACATCTAATGCAGAAATCATAGCAAGCCACTCCCAAAGCATAGGTGCTGGGAGGTTCAAGTAGGTCTCCAGACCCTCAATCCCAAAACTTTGGAAGTCACCGAAAAACCCTCGACCTGCCAGTTCTGAGACACCGAGGCAGACGTTTGATCCCTTCAGGACAAGCCTTCTAACACCCAACGGGAACTGAGGTGCTTAGAGAGTCATATGATGTTTAATTAACGGATGTGGGTGTTGATTTAGATTTCAAGGGTTCTCATCCGAGGCTGTTGAGAGCTTTGTAGAATTTCGGAATCTATTCTACATGTGGCTTGCTGTGACGGAGATGTGCAGGCAATGATTCGGGACCCTGGGACAGGGATCTTTGAGTCCCAGGAATCCTACCATGCTCGAATTGTTAACCTTTTGGGGGATAAGGTACTCAGCCCCCACAGCGATGTTCTGGCAGTTTCTGGTTTTTTTGTGAGACAGTGTGTGGGAGAGCATAAGGTGCCGAATGGGAGTCCCTCTCATGTCCGGGTTCGGCAATTGAGGGGTTTCTGTGGGTGTTCAGGGTTCCTCAAGGGACACGGTTTTTTCCCCCCGGTCTTACATATGGCACTGATGAGAACCCTGAACCTTATCATTCTGTTCAGGGTTTGTATTTTGAGGTCACTGAGGTGTCAGGATTCAGGGTTTTTTGATGAGTTGGTGAACGAGGGGTTAGGGATTGGTTTGGGATCCCACGGGTCAGACTGTTTGTTAGCGACGAGCACAGCGGTTAACAGCATGATCAAGGTGCTTGAAAATTCGGTGATGTTGAGTCTGTCAGTGTACGAGAAGGTGAAGAGCAGCAACTCGCGTTTGTTGCTTACCGCCCATATTTCACATGTTCACAAATGTGATCCTGAGCAAGAGTAGATCCGCGAACATGTGTTCCGAGCTTCCTTTCAGTTGTGTAATCTCCCGAGGTGCTATTGCTGTTTATTCTGTGGTTGATGTCAGCACTGTTTTTTTAATACGACCTACCACGATCGTAGCTCTTGATAGCAATTGAGCCTTTTCTCTCATTGCTGACCTTCGTATTGTTTGTTGCTATTGGTAATTGCCTTGCGCAGTGCTCTTTTGTTGCGACTATTCCTGTGATTATCTCTCGGGTTTATCAGAACGCCTTTTCCGACTGCCCTGCTTGAACGTTGCTACTATTCTCTGAGGTCCTTCCACGTAGCCCTTCGAAGAGCCTGAGTAACAACAAGAAGCCCGTGGCCAACAGCTTTCAAGGCACGGGGACGGCCAAAAAGCTGGGGGCTTTAGAGTTTTCGGTGGGGATTTGGGCTTTAGGGCCTTACGCTTTCGTGGCTCAAGAGTTTCGAGGGGTTTTTGGAGATGCCAATGCCGACAACCCGACTCTCTGCCTAAGCTGCTTGTCCAAGGGTACGTGTTCTTGCAAAATGTCCATCAAATACGGCTCATCGTTGTCTACAGCCTCGGTTACCTGCGTTCTAACTTGTTCTACCACAACAACAGAAACCAGAACAGCGGAACCATCTGCTGCTGCCACTGCCATTGCCTACTGCAGCTAGTCGTACTACAACTACTGCTGCTAACTACATATTACTACTACTGCTGCGGCTGCTGCTGCTGCTTCTTCAATTACTGCTACTGGTACTCCTGCTGCTGCAACTACAGCTACTACTGCTACTACTACTAGTACTACTACTACTGCTGCTGCTACTGCTACTGCTACTGCTACTACTGCTCCACCACCAACGACTACCCCTACCCCGACCCCTACTACTACCACTACCACGGGATGACACTTGTGGCCTTACCTTCTGTTGTGGTGTTTGGAACCCCCTGGGATGCACTTATGACCATTTAAGTCCCCGCAGAGCTGTCATTGGCGTGCCAAGTGGGTGACAACAAACCACCACTACCAGTACTCCAACTGCCGCTGCTACTAATTTACCACTACTACCACCATTACTCCGATTGCTGCTGCTACTTCTGCTACTATTGCTTCTCCGACTCCTACTCCTACTCCGACTGCTCCTGCTCTCTCCTGCTTCTCCTGCTACCGAGACTGCGACTGCGCCGACTGCTACTGTTAGCACTGCTATTACTACTGCTGCTACTACTGCTGATACTGCTACTACAGTATTTCTTCGGCGGCTACTGCTGCAGCTGCTGCTTCTACCACTACGGCTGCCACTACTACTGCTTCTACTGCTACTGCTACTGCTACTACAATTACAACTATTACTTCTGCTGCCAATTTTATTGTCATTGCTAGTATCAGTCTTCTGCTCCTGCTCTCGCTCCTGCTCCTGCTGTTGCTGCTGCTGCTGCTGCTGTTGCTACTGCTACTACTATGTCTACTACTGCTCTTGCTGCCCCTAGGAGGTCCTGCAGGGAGACTACTGAGCACATTACTAGCAGTAGTGACAGCTATTGTTATGATTGCCGGTGGTTCGATCTTCCCGTTACCTGTTCCGTAGACAACCCGTCGTGATTCCAGAAGAAGTCCATACTACCAAGCCGTTGCCAATGCCTTGAGTCTTCAGCCTCGGTCCAACTTCTTGGAACAGAAAGAATTGCATGTCTTCATACATTGAACCATGATTCGCTTCAAACTGTATGCAGCAAGCCGGAGTGGGGTATGTACATGTAGCTGGGCGGGGTTACCGAGGGAGTGGCCGTGCGACTTGCGTCATTTTTCACGCCCTATATTCTGAAGTGGTTACCGAAAGGCTTCCTGTTTGCTTCAAGACATGGCTCTGACCAAACTAGCCATGCAACAAGATTTCGTAAGCAGGGTGACCGGCGGAGCAGGATGCATGACAGAGATGCCGACAACAGGCCTTCATGTGCCTATATCTTCGACTAAGAACCAGATTGCTTTGAAGTTCGGCTTCACGCGTGATATCACCCTAAATCCTAAACAGCAAAGCGTGAGCCACCTAATATCCGTGCAAGGCCAATTGCACTTTGGCCAGACGTTGTCTCACACGGCGCCGCTGCTGAAATCTCAGTGTTTGTAAAATACCGTAATGTACTATCCTGCTGTAAAATACAATAGTACCACTTTGTGGACTTGCGGAGGCACTCTTAGGTTGATAGGCTTTGGCTGCGAGTTTCTGATATGATTGTGTAGTCTAAGTTTGCTGGCGTTGGGCTTTGCCCGAACTCTAAGGCGAAACCTCCCCCAGGGTTCCTTACCATGTTCTGCTTGTGTATATATGTCCTTAGACAGGTAGGTGGCTCGGGGTTAGGTGGGTTCTCCAGTCACTTTCGGTTTTTACTTGAGGATCCGACAAACTTGGTGTTCTAGGGGCTACACCCTAGAAGGACGGGGCATCAATCACCTCCTATGTCGTAAGGTTTGGGGTTACAGGTACTGGAGGTACAACAACATGGGCGGTTCAGTCACAAAGGGATCTCTTTTGGGCGTCCTGGTAATACGATTTTAAGATACTTACCTTGGAGTGTCGGTTCTCTTTAAGTTTCCATTTGCATTAAATTTCAAGATGAGGACCACGTGAGGCGTGTAGGGCTCGAGGTCTCTACTCCCGATGTTATTCTGTGCCTGCAAAGCCGAAGACTTGGTTGTGGGTTTTTGTGCCATTCGTAAAGAGACAGACATACGGGCTTCCTAAGTCTCAAACCTCCAAGACGACTTGAACATTGTGCATCTTTAGCTCATGGTCACCCGACCACGATGACCCAGAATTCTGTGGCTTCAAGTGACGTGGCCCGGGGTCTTTATAGACGTAACAGTCCCACACCTCGCAAAGAAGTGGCCTTCCAGGTAAGGTTGAGGGAGATGTGGAGGATGTCCATCCGTAGGTCAGGTTTCGGGAGGGCTTAGCGTGCACACGGAGCCGTAGTAAAGGCTAAGCGGGGAGTGCTCACTTTCGCTGAAAGCCGCAGTTAGCGTTGGCTAGGCCTTGAAAGGCCTTAAATCCTGCTAGGGCCCTTGGCGCACTTGTCGTCTAGCTAGACCCAATACTCCTACAAGTAGGCAGCAAAAAACCAAAAGCCTCGTGCTTTGCCAGTCTTTTCCACCTTCAGGTGAGAGTTTCCGAAATTAGACGACCCCAACATAGTACCCGTGAATACTAGGGTCCTTATTATAAGGACCCCAAATAATGTACCCCCCTTATTTTCTTTCGGAAGCGCCCAGGTGAGCCTTGAAGGTCTGGATGAAGAGGAAGAGACTCTCGTAGATTCGCAGGACGGATGGTGGTCGATGCTCGCACAGGAGATTTGTAGCTTTGACTCTCTTTCGACGTGCTTGGGTCTATGCTGAGGCTATAAATCTATACTTTAAAAAGTAACTTATGTCAGGATAGGCTAGACACCTCATTGGGTTCCAGAGAAGTTAGGTAAAGGGCTTGCCGTTTACTTTCCTGGCTCTTGGCTGGTGCTTTGGAGGTAACTCCCCATGAATTCTACCGTGCGAAATCATAGTTTGTGGGCTTCATGCGCTGCTCCATCGTACTTCGTCTTTCGTGGTTACTTCATATCCTAAAGCATCCCAAATACATTATCGAACTGATTTCACTGAACAAAGAGGCAACTACAATGGAGACTATAGGCCACCCTGATCTGCGGAAGTTTCCAATGTGTGTCTGCCAAACTGGGTTCCTACTTCTGTAAGGCAAGCGATGTTCAGAAGCCTCAGCAACGAGCTCTTTGCACCCTGCACCGCTTTGTCAGAAAGGCCAGCTTGGCCAGCTCGGTCTTTAGAACCGAGGAAAGACGCCAGAAGGTCCCAACGGACCTACCGTGCCTAAGCCCTATACCTTATATAGCTTAAACCGTGAATCCTATACCCTAAACTAGGATGCCCAGTAGTACCCTGATTCCCTGTTTGTAGTCCTGGGTTCCTTATAATGTTACCCAATACCAAAAAGGGAGCCCTTTTTGTTCCTAGGTTCCTGGGCATCCTAGTAAAGCCCTAGCTTGAAAGCTCAGGAACTTCGTGAAAATGATGCCCAGCAGCAGGCCAATTGAGCCTGAAAGCACTCTGGCCTGGCAGCGTGCTTTGCCTGAAATTTCGAGCCGAAGTCCTCAGAAGTGCGGTGGATACCGTAGGGTTTAGGTGGGGTCTTGGGGGCGTTAGGGATTGTCAAAGAATTAAGGGGTTCAAGGGTTTGCAACAGGGGGCTACGGTCTGAGAGACTGAAGTGTTGGAGTGGGGGCCCGGGGTCATGACTTGTGATTGGTCACCAGGTTGGAACACCCTAACCCCAAACCATATACCCTAAACCGTGCACCCTCGACGTTAGACAACGGTCCAGGCGATCCGGCCGACGACGACATGTTCACCAGTTCTTGCTTCTGGTTCCCCTCCGGATTTGCCATAAGACTATAAGGTTTCAAAAAGGTGTCGTCGTTGTTGCCAGCGTTAATTTTTCTATTGTGTTTTCCACCCAGCCTCTACCAATCTGGCAATGACAGCAGCTAGTGACGCTAGTGCCACTACTGCTGGTGGCAACAGAAGTACGTCTCGCCATGCGCAATGTCATTTAGATTATCCCTCCCAGTGTGAGCTATTGATGCTGCTCAAGTTCGAGAGTTCGTAGCGTGTGACGCAGATAGCGGCAAGTTCTTTCCAAGAAGCCTCGTCGCCAAGTGCTCTCTTGATTAATCTTTTTGAATGCACAAACTCGGTGGACACAACGAGCACCATAGCAGGAAGTCGTCGCAGAAGCCGCAGTCAGCACAAGTGGCATATGCTTGGTAACCATTGGCCACGATTCCCAACGCAAGAAGCCGTAACCCTGTTTCGTAAACCCTGAAACCCCAAATACTACAGCCACTCACACCCAAAAACGAAATCCAATGAAACCCTAACGCCCCAAGCGCTCAAGCCGTGTGCTCGAGGTCATTTGCAACGTTTCGTCGGGTCGACTCGATTTGAATCCTTATCCGCGACCGTGTGTCCTGGTAGCACCTATATAGCCTATAACTAATCCTAAACCTCATAAGCACTAAAACCCAGGTACCCAGGAAGCTCAAAGATTTGCTCACCTTTCCCTCTGCTCTTTTGGTAATGAAAGTCAACCAGTCAGGTCGAAGAAAGCTCTGGGTTGGAACACGAGTCTAAAACGAAAGTTGTGTGATGCAAGGGTTCGGGTTCGTAACGGGTATCTAGGGGTCTACAGGAAGTTATACAGTACAGGGCATGGTTTATTTGTAGGGTCTGAGTGTTTTGGCTTCGGCTTGGAGTGCAGTGTCTCCGGTTTGCAGAGATGCGCTGGTTGTCTTAGATTCCCCGCAATGACTAGACCCCTGGCCATGCATGGAACTGGGATGCAGTCTGAGATGTGGCAATCCAGCCTACATTTTTGAAATACAGCCCAAAACCCTCGCCCTGTCCCGAAAGAAAAACACGAACTGATAAACATTCAGGTGAGATGCTCGTAAGCTCTTTGCTCGGCGGTCGAGGGGTTTCTAGTGCCTATAAGCTTTGTAGGGCAGCAGTGCGGCCAAGAGTTATCATGCCGTTTTAGAGTCCTGTCCAATAACATGTGCTCGCCACATCTAGAACGACCTCACGCAAACAAAAAGCGCGTCACACATCATCAAACATCCACGAGCCTATTTAAAGCCGCCGTGTGCTGAGGATTATCACCAACTCCATATTCACGGCCATCCAAGTGCAGTGGGCGGCTGCTGACCCGTCCCTGGTTTTTGGAGTTTTATACGGATTGATCAAAGTCTAAGCACCCTTAAACTCAAAGCTCCTAACTCCAACCCCGAAACTCCGCCCCCGTCAAAACAAGAAGTTAAGCTCTAAACAGCAAAGGTTAGGGTTTAGGGCCAAGTCGAAGACGAGACAGCTGTCCCGGCGTGAGGTTGCAAGCCAGTTACAAAGGGGCCAAGTCGAAGTGCAATTCGCACTTCAGCCCAGCATGTGAAGCTTAACCACCGAAGCCCATTGGGCGGCGTTAAACCGTCAAGCCATAAACCCCGAAGTGGGAGTTTCCGAAAATGGGGGAGCCTAATATAGTACCCTAAATATTAGGATCCTTACTATTAATAAGGACACTAAAATAAGGTACCCCTAATTTTCCGAAACTCCCAAGTACCTTAAACCCCCTAACATCTCAGGCCCAGCCTTTGCCGAAAGAGCTTCTTCCTTCCCCCTTGTCAGTCCTATGTTAAATGTTGGCCGGTGTCGGGAAGCAAGAGCATGGGTGTATATATCTATATATATATATGTGTGTATATGTATGTATATACATATATACATGCATATGTAGATGTGCATACACTCAGAAGTGTGTACATGTAAACTCGGTGGCCTCACGCCGTCAGCGCTGCAGCGATTGAACTCAAGACCCTGAAAACAGAGGCCCGGCCGAGCAACAACTGTTGGCTGGGGTGCTCTAAACTCTTTTAGCCTGACTGGGTACGCAGCAAACCCAACAACCGTTTTCTGAGGGTTCTACTGGTATGTTGGCAGTGAATTCAGCAGGGCTTTCATACTGTACTCCCGTCCACAAATGTTACCAACCCAGACCTCAACCTACCTCCTGTGGACCCAAGCTCTCCGAATCCTACCAAGGTTCACGCCCCCTGACGACATACTCTTCATTATCGGCTGCTTGGCATCGGGGTTGTGGGTGGCAGGGTTCCATTGCGGGACTTGTTTTGCAAGTTCAGAAAAGAGCTCACACTCCCGCAAAGAGTCAAAGAGATTATGTAGCAAGTCGTCAAATCCCTGAAGCCCAGGACAGTAGTGTTCGTTGGTGAAACGCTTTAGGGTTTAGGTTTGTGTGGACTTAGAAGTTCGGTTCTGCTATCTCCCGTAACTTTCTCATGGAGCTGAGCAGTTGTGCATTCCATGAAAGCTCACTACCCTAAACCCTAGACCCCTAAACCCTAAAGCAAGCCCTCTCGTTGACCGGTCTTTGTAGGGAGGTTTGGGGTTTCTGAAGTTGTGCCTCTCGCGATCATGAGCGCTTTTTTATTCATGGTTTAAACCTGTGCAAGATAACAGTAAGAGCCGTAATAGAGTAGTGCAGCCTTGAGCCTCGTCTTAGCATTCGCTGTGCATGGGCTTGCTGGGTTTGTGTCAGGTGCTCCCAGCACGCACAAGAATGGATGAGCTTTGAAGCCACCAACGGGCAAGGGTTGGTGAGTTCGAGCAATCTTAAGTTCCCCATTCAGCTACGTACATTAGCTAGTTACATATTCCTTTTCGGATTCGACCTTTCAGCTCTCCACCATTGCGCGGACCTTGACGATGGCGGCTGGATAAATCCTGCGAAGAGGTGGAAGAGTCTGTAAAGGAGTTGGAACCGCAGAAAAGGAGGAGCATCAGGCATGCCGTGGAGCGGGCTAGAGTCTTTGAGTCAGCAACTGACTCACCTTAGACTGCCAGCAGCTTGCATGGAGTCAACATGGGGAGTCTCCAAGCATCCTCACTTGTCAGGGAGCACAGTTTCGCTTCTGCTGTGTCAGGTGTTGCAAGTGAAGTATCACTGACACGACATTTGCGACCTCAACTGCAACTAGTATTGTTGCGCAGACTCTTAGGTATCCTACGTGCTAAACCGCATCGGAAGGTTCCATCTACACCCTCGTTTTCACTATTGAGCTGATGCTACGGCTCCTTGCAGGAGGTCTTGGTGCTCCTTGGCCTACAACGAGACCTCTAAAGAACCAGAACCATCGTCTGAATATCGGAACTCCGAGAACTCGGTAAGACAGGTTAAATAGGTATTGTGCATTGTGCACCAAAAGCATTTCGTATGAGAAAGGCATCGACATTATCTTGTTTTGCAGACAGAAGACAAGGCTACAAGTCCGAAAGTTCGTAGTTCTTGATCACGACTTGCTCAAAGGGAATGAGTTCCAACGACACAGACCCCAGATGGTGGCTGTTTGCCCGAAAACGAAGCTGTGCTACGTGCAGGCGTTCGGCAAAATGTGTGAATGTTTTACAGGAGTGCTATCGCGATGTTATGTTTTGTTTGTGGGAATTGGTTTGTGTTTTCGCAGGGTTCAATTACAGAAGCACCTTCGGGCCGTGACAGGAACAGTTTGGGGGGCGGTTCATGGGTTTCAGGGGGGCGGGGCCGCATGCCCCAGGGCGGCATGCATGCATCATTAGACAGAGGATGTAGC